AATTACCAATCCATGTTATTTAGGGTTCGAATAACTATTAGCATATATTATATACGTACATACATATATATTATAGACATATAAATATTTTATACAACACGCGTAAAAAACATATTGACAACACTTTATATTATATAAAACTCCTTAATCTTTCATTCATATCAAGAGGGGCTAAAATTAAAAATTTACATATATTAAGTTATGACTAATATTTTATATACAACAAATGCTAAATCAAATGCATATTTTTTTAATCTTCCTTAATTACATGACACTTATACACAGTGCCGGCGTTAGGGGAGGGCGCGATGGGGCGACGGCCCAGGACGCCAATATTGGGGGGGCGATTAGTGGAGGTAGGATACTTATAAATGAAAAAAAAACAAAAATAGGAGCTACATAACTTTCTACGTCCACGTCGTTAGCTCTGGGTCACGCTAAAGGAAAGATGGTAGATGGAATATAGAATTCTCAATACATGTTCCGTGTTCACATTGGTTCAGAAAAAAAATTAATACTCGATTTTGATTTCTTGATGTGGTGGAGTGGGCGCCAAAATATTCTTGCCCAGGGTGTCAGTTTCTCTAACGCCGGCACTGCCTGTACATTAATATTATCACTACAATCACTACAAGTTCATATATTGTTCGTTTCTAGATTTCCACAAGTTAATACAGTGTATGTATATTATACATTTCCAGCTTTCATTGAGAAATATCCGCACATTTATTTATGAAGATAAATTAAAAGCGTTCCTTTGATAATGATAGAAACCTGATGATGAAATGATCAGTTAGTTGGTTTTTTCAATTAAAAAACATATGTAACCTGTTATTTATTATTATTTATATAATTGCCATTCCTTTACTATAAACAGAAGGTAATATATATTGAAAAAGTAGTTACATGAAATTATTAAATAAGCAATGAAGTGACTCAAGATATAGACGTAAATTATTTCATAGTAAGGAGGTTCTATAGTTGAGAAAATAACATCCATAGACGCGATATCCCAGAAGTAGCAGGTTTGAATCCTGTTCTCATCGACACATTATTGTTTATAGACTATTTGTTTAAATTTAAAGCTTGCTCTATGTTGCTAAAAATTAAACTCAATTAGACTTTCATAAATATTCATTTATAGAAAAAATATATTCGCAACTCCCGACTTGAAAAATTTACTCGTGTGGCCGTGATCACGGTTGCTGCAAAGTAACCGAAGTGTCGGGATAAGTAGTACAAAGTAATAAAAAACGCATAGTAACCCAAAAATATTAGTTTAATTTTAAACATATGACAATTTAATTCTATAAACAATATCTTTTTTATCATATATTAATATTGTGAGTAATATTTCAGTAATGATAGTAAAACGAATGATGTTTAATATTTAAGGATTTCTATCAAATTAATGAAATGAAATCGCCTCACTGGACGCGTAACCGCGAGCAATAAGCGAACTAATCTCGTTTTAGGAGACCACTCATCTGTATGGAATAATTCAAAAACATAATTGCTATTAATAATTAAATCTTATGTTATATTGTAATAGCGTAAATAATTCTTTGACTCCTAAATATACCTATTACAAGTGGCGCCATCTGTGTACTAATTATAATATACTATAATCCTTAGAATTATATTTATGACTGATAATAATTAATTATTATACTGAACTTTTAATTTTGTAATGGCACATTGATGTCAACATGTATTTGAAAACTATAAATACTGGCTTCAGCCTATTTGTAGGCTGAACGTTAAAAAACAATTCTAAAACTGTACACAGTTTTGGGGTAGAGTAAGCAGCATTTTAGTTAAATCTAAACTTCACATACACCTTCTTTTTGTAATTATTTTACTTTTGTCATTGTCATACAACATTTACATTGTACTCGTTATTAATATCGTTAAACATATACCACCACACAGTGCCGTAACTAGGGTGGTGCCAGCAGTGCCCAGGCACAGGGCGCAGGAATGACGAAACTAGTGTCTAGTTTTATCTCATGCATGGTAGCTATATACTTATGTATATACTTTCTTACTTTGGTAAACAACAAATAGATAGATTTATTTGTATGCACATTTGTCCATTTTATTTTTGGAGCCTAGTTAGAGCATTTTTTGGGGGGGCAGTTTTGAAAGCTCGCACCGGGTGCATAAAAGCTTAGTTACATCACTGCCACCACAGAATTGACAGCTATACACGTATAGTTAAGAGTGCGTAATGTACAGTTTAGAGTGAGTACCTTACAGCTTAGAGTAGGTAACGTACAGTTTAGAGTCAGTTACTTACATTTCAGAGTGGGTAACGCATAGTTATGCGTGAGTTACGTACAGTTTGGCGTAAATAACATCAGTATATAGTCTCGATACCTATTCCATTATACCCAAATTATAAAATCATAATTCTCTAACAATAATTCAATATTATACGAAATTACTTTAAATAAAACTCAAGTCATCTCTCCTGTCCGAAGTTTATCCAAAAAGTACTTAAAGTTTCATTTAGTTGGTTTTTTCAATTAAAAAACGTATGGAACCTGCTATTTATTATTATTTATATAATTGTCATTCCTTTACTATAAACAGAAGGTAATATATATATTGAAAAGTAGTTACAGAAAAAATATTATATAAACAATAATGACTCAATAAAACCTAAATTATTTCATACTATTGTTGAGAAAGTAACATTCATGGACGCGATATCCCAGAAGTAGCAGGTTCAAATCCTGATCTCGTCAATACATTATTGTTTATAGACTATTTGTTTAAATTAAAATAAGTATCTTGTTTCATATTGCTAAAAATTAAACTCAATTACACTTTCGTAAATATTCATTTATAGAAAAAAATATATTCCCAAGTCTCGAGATGAAAAATCAAGTCGTGTGTCTGTGATCACGGTTGCTGCAAAGTAACCGAAACCTCGGGAATATGTAGATTAAATAATAAAAAAACGCATATTAATCCAAACATATTAGTGTAATTTTAATCATGATTATACATATTAACATTAAATTCTATAAACAATATCTTTTTTATCATATATCAATATTGTGAGTAACGTTTGAGTAATGATAGTAAAACGAATGATGTTTAATATTTAAGGATTTCTATCAAATTAATGAAATGAAATCGCCTCACTGGACGCGTAACCGCGAGCAATAAGCGAACTAATCTCGTTTTAGGAAACCGCTCATCTGTATAGAATAATTCAAAAACACAATTGCTATTTGTAATTAAATCGTATGTTATATTGTAATAGCGTACATAATTCTTTGACTCCTAAATATACCAACTACAAGTGGTGCCATCTGTTTACTTATTATAATATACTATAATCCTTAGAATTATGTTTATGACTGATAATAATTAATTATGATACTAAACTGTTAATTTTGTAATGGCACATTGATGTCAACATGTATTTGAAAACTATAAATACTGGCTTCAGCCATTTTGTAGGTCATTACTGGAAGTAACGCTGAAAAACAAAATTGAAAATGCACAGACTTTTGGAGTAGAGTAAGCAGCTTTTTAGTGAAATCGGAACTGGGCACACACCTTCCTTTTGTAATTAGTTTACTTTTGTCATTGTCATACAACATTTAAAATGTACTGGTTATTAATTTCGTTAAACACATACCACCACAGAATTCACTACTATAAACGTTCAGTTTAGAATGAGTTGTTTACAGTTTAGAAGGAGTTACTTACAGTTTAAAGTGAGTTACTTACAGTTCAGAGTGGGTAACGCATAGTTATGCGTGAGTTACGTACGGTTTGGCGTAAATAACATCAGTATATAGTCTCGATACCTATTCCATTATACCCAAATTATAAAATCATAATTTCCTAACAATAATTCAATATTATACGAAATTACTTTAAATAAAACTCAAGTCATCTCCCCTGTCCGAAGTTTATCCAAAAAGTACTTAAAGTTTCATTTCGATTCCATTGTTATTTCTCCCTAATGATGATTCCATTTCCAAATTCGCATTATTATTCCAATTGGAATAACAATTATTCGAAATTATATGATTCCCCCCTGTTTTGTAAACTTCACAGAAAGTTGTGAAGCTTCAACATTATCGTTATTTTTGATGTAATCTTTTTAAATTGATTTAGAAAACATAGAAAATATAGCTAACTTTTCTGTAATGTAGGTTTTACGATAACATTTTAAAGGGAAGAGAATGAATGGCTTTCTTATTGATCAAACAAATACTGTAATCTTAGCCAATCTTGGCCTAAATATATATATTATCTCTTAAGATGTCCGCAACTCTGCTATGTTCTTATTGTTCGCTTTTCATTGTTAACATAAAGGCTTGTCCAGAGTTCCATCGATAACGCGCGATCCTCCCAAAGATACATTACACTAAAGGCTTCATTTCTACCAAATTCAAAGGCCTCCATTAATGTCGTCTTGTTACTGTGACGTAATAATTGTAAATCTTATATTATCTATAATTCAAATAGGGTTTTTCAAAGTAATTATGTTAAAAACATCTTGTTCATGATCTATTTACGTTTCTTTGTATTTTGGAATTGAAATTAAGTGTTTGTAATGTGTCAAATCAAATGAAATAACCATTACTATATTTGGACTTTGTAGAATATATGAAATGTTCAAATAAATGAAACATAATATATTTAATATGAAAACCTCTTTTTCAATTAATTCACTCTGGATAACTGATATGAATGATAAATATCTGGATAACAAAATATGTTCCAAGGCAAAAAAAATGAAATTTTTGATCCAATTTTATTAACTATCTGTATAGCTTCTTAAAGAATGAATATGAATTATTTATTTATAATATTGGTTAGATAGAGAGAGGAGCTTGGACTGTGGAGGTGAGTGTTTAACATGCGTTAGATAGATACCCTTTAAACCTACACCTGGGTCACAAGTCCCAGTCACTGTTGAAGCTCCTCTCTACAACGAGGGACCCGGCACCCGCATATGAATACATTGAATGATGAGAGGTTTCGTATCTATTTCAGACTCCGAACTCGAGGAGTTGGGTGAACAGCTACCTCGTTACCGACCTGACTCCATAGCGGCTCTTCGCAGAGCGACCAGGTTCACGGAGCCGGAACTCAAAAGATTGTACCGAGGCTTCAAAGCGGAATGTCCCACGGGCGTCGTCAAAGAAGAGACCTTCAAACTCATCTACTCTCAGTTCTTCCCGCAAGGAGGTAAGTTGTTGAGGTAAGATGAATGCTTTGGCTGTATACGTTTGGACAGTTGTCCAATAGACTATGAAAAGGAAAAAAAATTAAAAATAAAATACAAAAAATTTTAAAAATGTGATATCGTTAAAAAGAAAGTGATAACAAAAATAAAACATTGCTTATACGAAAAGTTTTAATACATGAAAGTGTTAATTTTTTTAAATAAAACTTTCGAAGTCATAAGTCTGTTTTATTAAACCCCATCAAGGAATGAAGCTAAGAAAAGATTCAAAAGGTAAGTTATTATTGATTATTCTAATATTATAATATTTACACTTAAGTAGGTTATTTTTTCATTCTCTAATTAAAATAGCATACATATGTAATATTGATTAATTCTAGAATAAGTTATGCCAAATTACAACGTGGAAACTTCATAATCTAATGAAAAGGGAATTTTCATCATGTTGAGTGTGGGTGTGGGTTAACTATGACCCACAGAAAAGGTTCTGAGGTCATTTATGTTATTAAAATGTAACTACATTATGTACCCTTAGTATGATTGCTACAGTTAAGGAAAACTATAAAAGTTTTCGAATTCTTTCATTCAGCCAAACATCATAAATTATTTAATAAAATAACTTCTCTTTCCATATACATAATTATAAAATGTTGCCATCATATCAAAAACACTTTTACATTAACAACATATTGTTGAAGCTAATTAATAATAATATTGAACACGCCCAACCTTTATAAAATGTTGAATTAAAAAACAGTAACGTAATATGATAAATATTTTCTGACTCATATAAATTAATTATTTTAATGGCTCTTGAAAAAAGTAACTGGCAACAATCGGGGTTGATGTGCTAATAGGTTTCAACAAAGAGTTTTATTATAAAAAAATAAATGTCCATAATTATTTTTTCGTAAATTGAAGTGTTTATTCAAATTAGTTTTACGAAAATGTACCTTATAACACAAGAAATAAAGAAGAAAGGAGCTTTTGGTTAGAACAATAGCAAATTGTCTATCCTACCATGAATTTCGTAAAATATGTAAAAGTTTCCAATAAAATACCTTAAAAGAAAACGCTGAAAGGAAAACTTTGAGCAAACCAATTAAAATTATAGGAAACGAACTGAATATTGAATAATGATAAGAGAAAATTAAATGCAAAAAAAAACATGGCGTCCGAAGTCCTCAAGGTTTATACCGTCTCAGCAATTCTTTTTGTGAATTGCTAAGACATTTTTATCCCACCTTCAATAATCTAATAATGCTAAAACATTTCTTTATTGAGCAATCTAAAATATACATTTTTATTCAATAATATTCTTCGAAATATTGTATATATACATTTTGATTTTGCAATTGTCGTTAAAATCCATAATAATAAGAGGAAAATCAGTATAGTAACTAAATATATGTTTTATTCGATAACGTAAATTATTTTTTAATCTATGTTTGTTCCTTACTCAATTACTCACTATAAATGTATCTCAAATAGATATTTATGCTCAAACCGTATTGAATATAACAATATAACTTAAACAACAAACAAAAGAAAATACTAATTTTTCTACTCAAAATACTATGAAAATTTGAAATGAATATAACTATAGTAATAAATCACTCGTAAAATTTCATATTTCACAAAGCCGGTTCTAGCTAAGAGTTACAGAGTTTTTCAAGAAGTACTCAAATGGCGGTAGTGCTTATACTACACGCGGAGAAACGCGGTTAGCTTTAACTACCAACCAACCATTCAAAAGATTTCAAACGAAACTTCATGCTTTTCAAAGACTTATGAAATTGTATATAATAAAAAAGAAGAATAGTTCAACTATATATAGCATATCTCGTCTGTCCGTGATCACGGTTGCTGTAAAGTAACCGAAATTACGGGAGTATGTAGTTTTTATCGAAAATAAAGTAGCATAGTATATCCGCAAAATATTAGTTTCATATAAATGACTAGACAAATCGTAGATCTCATTATAGTTCAACTGTTAAACGAAATATAGGTCCATCTAGACTTTGCCAATCATAAAACATAGCGCGTAGTACGATTCAATTCAAACGATATATGTAAGGGACGAAAGTGATAATTCTAAACTACAAGCCTGTTATCGGTTGGAAGCGCCGGCCACAAATTCACGATTCACGAAATACAACCCACATTGCTTACCCCAGCGGAAATAACAATCATTCCCATAAACTACCCGTGAAAAAGCAACGTTATTTTATAGTTCTTAACCTTTGGGAAAGGTCAGAAGGGCGGCTGAAACTATTATATGTTATTTTCACTGTTATCTTAAAGCATAAACCTTAAATATAACAAAAAAGCACCGATTCAGATTTATACCGTACTTCATTTGCATGTTTATTTATTCTATCGAAATATATTAAAACTTTTGTTAACTGTATACCCAAGTAAAACTCTTTTAAAGAGAATAAGAACATTCACTTTTTATAAATAATGTTATTATCAAGAAATTTATGATAAATATTGAACAAATAAAACATAAAACTGTGCTAAATGTTTAATTAAAAATTATAACTAAAGAAAATATTGTCAATGTTTAAAAAGGATTCAATATACCAAACGCAAATATCAACAAAACAAAATTTAACAACCGGGATGTTAAAGTATAAAAGGTATATGTTTAGAGAAAAAGTTGAATGTAAAAACTCTTTTGAATTTTGGTAACAATTATATTTATGAGAAACTGTTGAGAAATATTGTTTTATCAATTTTCAATATTAGTTATTAAAAGTACATAATTTCTTTACATAAACGAAATAAGTATATACGAAATTAATAGGTGCCAAATAATTAATAGGTATTTTTCATAGATTTTGTACTCCCAACAAAAATGTAAAGAAAAGATGGCCTGAAAACGTGCATATGATTTGTCTGTACCAATATTATAAATTAAGTAAATCTCCTGAAACAATTGTAATAGCAATAAAATTACTTGTCTTTCATAACTTTAGTATCCTTCGTTCCGAAATTATGAAGGAAAAATAAGAAAACTCTACTTAAGTTTGTAAGCTAAGATAAAAAAGAACTCTTGTATAATTACTTTAACTCAAGTTAAATCATTTATCTATTCGAATTATTTCAGAGAAATCGTAACATTTCTAACCCGAAAACTTCTCAATTTAACCGATAGGTACAACACTAGCTACCCAAGTCACAACCCTAGCTACATCGCCTTTTTTGAAAAAAATGTTGGCAGCACTGTTTTAAAGGAAATACTCAACTGACTAACGTTAAATTAACAAACTCCGATAGAACATCGATAATATGTATATTAAACTAAAACACTTATTTTAATATTTTATTAAGATCTAATTTATATATTACTATAACTCAAAAATTCGTATAATCTTATTTTTAATTATCGTATTGCAATGTTGGTAGAAACAAAAATAATTTTTAATAAAAGTTTTTTAACTATCACAATATACATGTGATTATTAAAAAAGAGAATATTAAATAAAATCAAACAACTAATTATGAATAGATTGGCCATTTGTTAAAGACGTACTCTGCGCAGAAGCGTACTAATACCGCCCAACTGCGCATATGTTGGTAGCATTGAGCGTTTCCTCCAAGCCGACTCGACCGGACTGCGGACGCCATTACCACGCCACCGGATCACTTATCTGTCACTGTGTTGAGTTTTTGTGTTTAATCAAAAATTTAACTGATATCTTTAGTGTTTGTTATTTTAAAAATCAATAACTATATAATCTTAAAATGGCGGATGAAAAAAAGGTATATAATACAACGTAATATTATCGAAAACTAAAGTCGCAGACATGGCGTTCTTAGTCATTTAGTGCAATGTGGTTACTTATTGAATATTATGTGTATTTCGTGATTATAGTGATTCATTTATAAATTCGATTCCAGGGCGAAAGCGAGCACATCAACTTGAAAGTATTAGGACAGGATAATGCTATTGTCCAGTTCAAAATAAAGAAACACACACCTCTAAGAAAGTTGATGAATGCGTACTGTGATCGAGCGGTAAGCTTTTTCTATTCATCAAATTACAATTTTACTACAATCAGTACCAAAATAACCGATTCAGTACTTCAAAATTCCTATACTTTCAAAGTTTTCCGTTAATGGCAGCTAAACTCGAGACACCGGTTTCAGATTTATTTATCTCTATTAATGCATATTACTTCCATTAATATCAATTTAAATAACTAAGATAGCTTTCTTTTACATAGAAGTTTTATATTCACAAACTCAACTGTGACCATTAATGGCCACCATTTATGATAATCCAAAATAAATCAGAAGCGTTTTATCTAACAACTATTCTTCACTATATTTCATCTAATAACTCTACATTTCTTCTACCTGGTAATTTCCCAGCTAAAGCCAGGGTCTGCCTTACACATTGTGAATAGTTTTGGCTTATTGTTTTTTACTGTCTGCCTGCCGGACATCAACCCTCTTAAGAAATAAACTTTACAGTTGTTCAGTCATTACTATTTTTGACATAAAATTTATTTAATTAAAATTCACAATGTTAATATATAATTACAGGGTCTGTCTATGCAAGTTGTTAGATTCAGATTTGACGGTCAGCCTATCAATGAAAACGACACACCGACATCACTCGAAATGGAAGAAGGTGACACAATAGAAGTTTACCAGCAGCAGACAGGAGGCGTTCTAGTGTAATATAACTTAAGGAACTGTCAGTTTTGTGGGAAAATCGTCATGATGTGCCCATACAACATTAACATTAAGTTAATTTTAATACCATCTTTTGTATCCGTATGTGAAATGTCTATTATGCCCAGGATACATACCCACAGCTAATATATACTGTATATGTATCTTGGGTGTTAATAATATCTTTTTTGGGGATGTGTGAGGTAAACCAAATGAATCTAGGTAGCTTCAAATCCTTTGTGATAATGTTCAGTTGACATGTCTAAATTGTGACCGTTACAATGCTGAAGCACCGGCATACAATTTCTGTGGTTAAATGTAATTTATTGGACATGCTCATAACTTGTCAGAATCTTAAGCTGATGTACCTATTTGAAATAAAGTAAATGTAATGATTTTGTGTGTTTATTTCATTAAAGCTGTAAGTTCTAAGTATGATGTATATTCTACTGTATTCTCGCTCATGAAAGAAATATTTTGTTTATTAAAATTGAGTTTAGCATCACATGTATTCATTTCTTTCTAGTAATATGCATAAGAAATATCACAAAATGTTAATTCTAGCAGCAACATGATTTAATCAGTTCATCGATTACTATAATTAATTTTTACATAGAATAACATGGAGAAATGTTTAAATAATAATCTATTTGATTTAATTTTGCAAATATTCCATATCGATTTAGAAGCTTGCAAGTTATTGCATACAAAACTTACGAGTATTATTGAATTTGTCATATTCTTTTATCACTTACATAGACATTTTGAAGATTTCTTACAATTACTGAACAAAAGTACAATGAGTTACAAATTCATATTTGAAAATTAAAACCTACTTTTGTATGAGTAAAACATTATTTTGATCAATCATTTTTCTTCATATGCTACTTTTTATTTATATGGAAATCTATGAGAAATCTATTTATCAGCTTTTCCTAAAAGATAAAAAAATATGAGTATTCAAATACTTCCGAATTCCTTAGATAAGTAAGTTTATAAATGTTAGAATGTTTTAGCTTATATCATTTCAGTACATTTACTACGTCATAGTGTATGTCATGTAGTTTTGGGCAAATAAAAAACTGCAACAATGCTGTATATTTGTTTTTCTACTACTTCAATTCCTTATTTGAAGATACTATATTTCAAAATTTCAATCCGAAATGATGCGATATTTAAAAAAAGAATTGACGCAATTGAAAAAAAACTATTGCGTCATATATTAATATTATGTGTTAATAAAAAAAACTTAGACAATGTATAAACATTACTTAGTATATATTATATAGTAAATAAAATATTTTTGGATTATAAATGAAGAAACTATATGTAATATTTATAATGAACATGAATATCTTTTTCTATTGATGCAGCCAACACGGCGCAGTACGCACACTACGTATTCAATACATTGGACCAAGATCGAAGTGGCTTGTTGAGTTTTGAGGTATGTATAACATAATGTAATATACATTTACGATTTTTTTAAACAGAATTCAAAATAAAAAAACATTCTTGATTCCTTTATTTTGGCTCTAAAATATTACAGCTATAATTTATTGGTTTAATCTTTAAACCTCTATCAATAATAATTTGTATTAGTTAGTAATTGATATGTGACTTACAGGAATTTGTGACTGGATTGTCGGTATTATCAAGAGGTACGCTCGAAGAAAAATTAAAATGGACCTTCTCTCTATACGACATCAACGGCGATGGTTACATAACTAAAGAAGAAATGACTGAGATTGTAACTGCTATTTATGATCTAATGGGAAAAATAGTTGAACCTATGATCGATGACGAAGCTGTACGAGAAAAAGTTGAAAGAATGTTTCAGGTACATATAAAAGCTTCTAGAATACTTAACAAAATTAAAAACAATTTAGATATTGAATGTTTCTATTCTTGGAGTGTCAATTCAAGTAGCTTGGTTTCAATTTAAATAACTTATTTATATTTCTAACGTCCAGTTTCCAATATATCCTTATATCCCTACTAATATTATAAATGCGAAAGTAACTCTGCCTGTCTGTTACGCTTTCACGCCTAAACCACTGAACTGATTTTAATGAAATTTGGTACAGACATAGAGTTGACCTTGAGAAAGAACATAGAATAGTTTTATCCCAGGCTCTTGAAAGGTTCTATTGGAAACGCGATATAACCGAACTCCACGCGGCGAAGCTGCGGGCGGAAAGCTAGTATTGTTACGAACGAAAATAATTTTTAAAAATACATTTATATGAACCTTGTGATAATTAAAACTGAATAAGGAAGAAATATCTTGATTTTTTATAGAAAATGGATCTGAACCGTGATGGTGTTTTAACATTGGATGAGTTTCTCGACTGTTGCCTTCGTGATGAAGACATCTCGCGCTCTATGGGAGTGTTTGACAGCAACTTCTGACGCCCCGCCAGGCGCGTACGACGCTGGCCTTTATAGAAATAGATTTTTGTCTTGCTTTTACGCCATTCATATGAATTTTATATTTAATTTTGACTTACTTTAACGTACTATTTTGACATATTCAAACAATAATTTTGATCACCCCGTTCCGTTTCTTCCAATATTTGAAACAATGATTGAACTTATTTATTATTTATTTATAAGTATGAATGTTAATGACACATAATTATAGATGTAACGTAGTTTAATTATAACATTTTCAGATGTGAATATTAGATTTTCTTATTCATATCTGTCTCTTGGATACTTAAATCAATCGTGTCTTACAAGTTTTGATAATAATGGAAAGAGGAACAAAAATAATATTTTTAAGGTCTTGGTCTAATGAACTACAAAAAATTATCATCTTTAATCTATTAATGTAGTTTAACTTTCTAAAGCTTAAAAAATCTTTCTTCCTTATAAAATTATAATTGACGAAAATCTTATTGAAAGAATTTGTCTTGTATTTTTGTATTGGATCTGTAAATAAATTTTTACAGTTCATTTTCTAGAAAATTATATGTATTTGTTTTAAAACTATTACCCGCTGCGTAGTCTTGTCATTTCCTTCTATGACGATTTCTTAATACCATTGTATGGTTAAAATTTCTTTAAAATGGATGCAGCCGTCAAAACTTAAAGCATTTGTAATATTTGTAGGGACGCTTTTTAATCTTAATGCCAAATTGCATGTCATATGTTTAGGATTTGTGGAAATTTAAAATTAACAATTTTCTTACAGTGAATTATTTATTTATTAATAATATCCGTATATAAATGTGTAGAAATGCCATCAATCAATGTCAATGGCTGTGTAAATCGTAGCTATGTATAAAAAATGTGTAGATAGAGATAAAAGTAACAATTGTAATTATTTGAATACTTATTTTGGCATTTTATGGAAGTGTTGAAGTAATTTTTATTTGTTTATATATATGTATATAAGTATCATACCTTATATTTGAAAATAATATTTTTGTAGGTTGAATGAAGTTTCGTTACGGTGTTACCCTATCATTGATGTGTTTTTTAGTATTGTAAATGTTCTCATGTGATTTCCATCAATATACCTTTACGTATGTTTCTTTAAATTATTCCGGCCATTTTAAATAGAATATAATTATTAATGATACCTATTAAAAAAAACTTAATATATAGTATTCCTCACTGTATTTATATATATGTATAAGTTGCCCCTAGTTATATTAATATTACAATAATTTTAAATTCTTCTCAATAAATCGATATAAAATCCGTAAAATACGTATTTAACTGAAATTCGTGTAATGCTTTGATCCCATAGGGGCATGCGTAAATTTAAAATAATTGGTGATAAAACATATATGGGATTAGTGTCTATGTAAGTAGAAGCACTTATTTAAAATGAATAAATGATTTATCATTAAACCTGGTTAACGGCCACCTGAAGAAAGCACTGCCACTACATTAAAAGTAAAATATTTGTTAAATTCAAAATGTACGACTTCTGATTCGTCAATCAGTACCGTTTTTATTTTAAACGAACCTTCAATTAGAATAATAATAATTGACAACATTTATAGTTTCTTATGAAATTGTTTATTTATTAATTTAAACAGTTATCTCGATGATATATATGAATATAACATCGTATGTTTTTACATTGCTAATTATGCTATACATGTCAAAATATTCAAACCGACCATTTTGGATTTTTAATACAAATCTGTTATTTTTTTCTTTAATCTTAATGTTTCATAGACACGCTTAAAGATGACTCCATTTCATTATCGGTAGATAGTGTGATCATTAAAACGAAACGCTTGTTAATGTAATATATCAAAAAATATATTTCTTTAATTTGAAATTTGTATTTACATTTCACTACGATACGGTATAATAAAGAGAATGCAATTAGAAAATACTCTCACACGCAGTTGTTCTAAATTTAAAATATACAGTTACTAAGCATACATTGAAAACCAAGCGAATATGTTTCATGTTCGTAATTTTATTTTAATTATTGTCGATTGTTTGTTGTGTAAAATAATTGTCGGATCTTAAAAATATTTTCTGAAATTATCATGAGCTGTAAATATTTATTGTAGGTGAAAACAACTACGTGTATATTTTAATAGCGAATGTTAAAAACGGAACCAAATAATTAGGGGACACATTTACATAGCTTTTTATTTAACTTATTTGACACATCATGGTTTATTTGCCTATATTTTTAGGTTGTTTTCTTTTATAATAGTGAAATATTTGACGAGCTTACATAGATAAGAATTATAACATAATCTTTTATGTTATTTATTAATTGTTATATTTAATTTTTCTCAATAATTCTTGTTTTACTGTAAAACACGTTATAATTTGATTCAGATTTTGTTTGTATACGATCAGCTTAGATACATTACATTTGTGCCAAAGTTTTGAGCTAATGATTTTTTGATTAATTTTAAACCTAAGTACCAACAGTCCTAACTGTTATTACATTGGCTTTTTACATTTTGTAATTCGTGGTGTAGATACGATGTTCTCTGGCAATTAGCTAGGCCTATTAGAATATAAATAATTCAAATATTTTACGAGTCCATGTATGTTATTAGACGACTTGGGTGTTTGTGTTTTATTATCGGTAGACAAATAGCTATTCTTGTATGTACTATAGATCGCGCTGTAAGCTACTTGAATAACATATCAGTCACTATTCAGTAGCTTTTACCTTTAGATATAATTATGAATGAAAATATTGAATTTATTAAATAGATCAGCTTAAAACTGAACCGATTGATGGATATTTTATTTTTATTTAATAAATTCATGATAATAAATGTTGTAATTGTATATTTTCTGTCGCTCTCATACCAGAATGAACAACGCAAAAGTCGGTATGAATGAAATGTTAGAATCGAAATGTGTTAGATATGTATTTAACTAATAAATTGTTTATTTACAAATTGTATGTGTATTTTATAGAAAAAAATAAATAAAAAATCAAACAATTCGTTTTTTATTTTTATATTAATCCACTTTAATATTAAGGGAGGATAAATAAATGAAAAGACAGTTAAATCTTCTAATTTTATTCTTAAATTTCTCGATGGAATAGATTATAACAAAATTTAATTTACGCCGATACAATAATTAATTAAAAATATAAAAATCACTAACATTATACAAAAGATACGCTAAGTTGAGCAATGCTTAATGCCAAGTCCGAAATGTAAAAATATATAATAATTTCAAATATAGGCACATTTTTCATCAACATTAAAACATACCCTTATATTAAACTATATAAACTATTTGGTGGCACAACTCGTTTTAAAACTAAACTTACATTAATGTAAACTTGTTCAAACAACTTACAAAACTTGTTGAACTGTTTCAAATCTAATAATTTATTCAACATCAAATATTTATATATTTATTGTACATAAAACCTTGAAGAAATCAATATTTATCTATTCAAGACATATTTCTATAATGTACCTAATATTAGAGAGCTAAATGCCATTGTTCTGCAATTTGCAATTATGGCAAGTTAAGTATTAACTAAATATCTTAAAAAAAATATAAAATTAAAATATAATTTGTATACAAAATACATAATTTGAGTATAAAATAATCATAATTAATTTAATTATATTCTAAAATTTACGTTTGTAGATAAAAAATACTGTATTTAAAAATAATATGTAATACATAATAATCATCTATCGCATGTCGCGTGTAATGCATGGTATATTACGTTATATGTCACAAAAATAATAATTTATACTGTATATTAGATTCATGTATAAATTAGAATATTTTTGGTATGAGAATCGATGGTACTTTCATGCAGTATCTATGCCAAGCTGCACCATAGCGTTTTCTGCATCTCTTATGATCTCGCCACGAACGATGAAGGAGCACCAATATAGTGATGATAGCCGGGGCGCAAGCTAGTATCTGTTTTGAGAGTACACCAGGCAACGCAAGTGCTGTATGTATCAATATGTCGCCGGCATAGTTCGGATGGCGCAATCTTCCCCACATGTGTGTAGTTAACAGCTTTTTACCGTGAAACGTTGGCATTGACTCTAAATCTGAAAAGAAATAACTTGTTTAGCATAAATTTTCTAACTTTTATTTATAAATTATAGAAAAATATCAAAAAATTTCTAGAAGTAAAAATAAGAATATAAATATTTAATTAAACAAAATAATGTGAAAACACTAATAGATGTTCGATAATATTGGTATTAAAATAATTTTAATTGACTGCAATTATATTCATAACACATAGAAATAATTAATAGAAACAAGGATAATGTTAACTTACTTATCACTTTGGGTTGTAGAGGATTTTCTCTAAATTCATATTTTATATTATTACTTGCGAGTAATAATAAGAATCCCAAGGAATATACTATAGTGGCCGTTACAAGTAAATAGTAGGGCATTGATACTTCTGAGTCGATAATATATTTGGATATTGTTGTGAATAAAAATGGGTACAAAGTACTCGAGACTGTTTGAAGGTATCCCAAGCCCTCGGAATGCCAATAAAATGTTGTAGTTACTTGTTTCTCTTTTATAATGAAATATAATATATATATCATTTGCATCCCGGCATATACAAGCACAGTTGGTTTCAACTGGACTTTGTCGGCAATTTCTTTCAAAGATTCCCATTTCAGACCACTTATTTGTCCTTGTATCTTAAATCCATGTTCAAACATTATTATTGTTAGAATAAGCTGAAAAAATACAAAATTTTATTAAAATTTTTATATTACTATAATAGTTTTCTGTAATTATTTATATAAGTAATACTCACCGCGGTGATATTACTTGTTCTCGCTAACCACAGCTTAATATTGATCTTCCAGAATCTATCATGTATCTTTCTGCCCATAAAGAAGTCGTAGAGAAAATGTCCAGAATTACCATAAGTATTCAAATTATCCTGGTTGTTGAAGCTCTTGATATATAAAACGGTGGCTAGAAATACTCCAATTAAGTATGATGTACTCGCCATTTGCAAATATGAACTAAGAATTATATTTTTATCAATAACATTGTAATAGAATAACCCAAATAAGATGATTATTGAAGAAAATGTGGCAAATAGTGCATTGAAACAGAATTTTTTACCCTGTTTATCAATTTCTGTAATACCAAACATTCGTGACGAAGCTAAAATAGCTTGAAGAACATATTGAGCAATGACCAAAATTGTTGTCGGGAAACTGAACCATAATAATGGTGACTTATATGCATGTATTTCATGCAAAGTTTTTAAAGAGCATGAATTGTAGCAAGATATTAGAATGTAGAATACAGTGATTGGTATTAAAAAGTATAATATACAACAGCCCGTTAAACCCATGAAATCATATTTGTCATTTATCTGTGCTAGTGTTGTAGAACTCGGTAGAGGAGTTGAGAGTTTTCTGGTAACCGAATGTGATTTTTCCTTTATCGGCTCTTCAATTTCTTCATCTGAATAATTGTCTACAGACTTGCTCATAGATTTACTATGGGATTTGCTCAAACTCCGTTTAATCTCCGCCACATTGTCTAATACGTCTTTAAAGCGGCTCGACCTTCGACGCCCTGAATCTTCAGACACTCGTCTGTTCCTCAGTTCATATAAGTCAGGAAGTGAGGACACGTTATCTAAACCATTCACTTTATCCAACAGTACCTGCTCCGTACTTGATACTGAAGAAGTCGCATCGTCACTAATATATTCTGATCGACGTGTTCGTGTTGTTTTAAGAACCTCAAGTTTGGAAGAAATATTAAGTAGTTTTACTTCAGCATTCTGTCTAATAGTTGGCCTTTTTGTTGGCGATACTTTTTCCTCTTTAGTTTCCTTAACGGCTCTAGGTGACTTTCTGGCTGGATACTTAGGTGTAGGCTTACGGCTTGGTGACTTACGCGACGGAGATTTTTGGGCAGAACGTGCTGTTGGCGAACTTTTCCTAGTTCTACCGGGAGAGCGCGTCGGTGAAACTCCTTTCCGAGTGCGCGGTGGGCTTGTTTCAATTAAACTTTGTCTTATCCTACCGCTTCTTGTAGACATTTTGTTGTACTAATTAAACTCTAAAAGATTAAGACCACTTTGGAAAACTAAATATAATTTCATGACCACACGCAGAGCGCTCTGTATACTTTGTATAAAATTACATAAAACTATCACAAACTGATTAATGCAAGTCTTTTTATTCTAATATAAAGCACATTTGACACAAGTCAGAATTCGAAATTTGACTTAAATTTCTAATTTACTTCAAAATCTAACAAACTATAAAAACTACGCTACTACGCCAAGCGTCAACGACGCTCGAATTATTTCAAAAAAATGGTTTATGATTGGTTGGAAGCTGTTGGCGCTTTCTTTAACGGACACGGAAAAATACAAACACGATACTTGTCATTGATAGTTTCTATATGTTGGTACGACTATTTAAGTAAGCCGGCTTGTCACACTGTGGAATTAAATGTTTTTATTTTAAAAATCATCTAAAATTTTAAAAGACATTATAAATATCTAAATTCATTACGGACATTTATTTACTCCATAGATACATTAAGATATCGTCAAAGTATGACATGGGTCACTCATTTGATATTCATTATATTCATATTTGACCTCTGTTGAGATTTTTTTATTGAAAATGATATATACTCGTAAATTAAACTATAATATCAATTATTTATAAAACTTATTTTTAATATTTATTAAAATTTAATGAAAGACGATAGTGCTAACAAAATCTGATGTATTTCGATATAGTATTAAGTGTTCATAACAGCATAGTATGGAAAAAAAACTTAATCTTCAACTTATTTATATGAAGAAAAATATCTTAGACTCAATTTAGTCTATTAGAATTGAAATACATATAATTACTATAACATAAATTATAAAAATTGGCGTACTCAATTAGTGAAGTTTATTCCTGTCGAAAAATACTTACTTGATAAAAGTAATCTTCTCCGTTCTTGTATATACTCTAATATATATTAAAAAAAGATTCTCTTTATTTGTATTTACATTCTCATATATATTTTTTTGAATACAATGTTCAAGTTACTTTCGAGGTTATCCTAATATTTATATATTGATGTCATTAGACGAGTGGTTGTTTTCCGAAAATATGTACTTGCAAAAACAGTGATGAACAAGACTCATTCTACAAAAATAATGATTCTTAAAATAAAGGACCTATATAGATATAAATCCTTTTAAAAGCTTCAGGTTTTTTTAAACCACCCAAAAATAGGAAAAACTGGCCTTCGAGTATGGCTTTTAAGTTTTACCAATTACTACGAAACTCTATGTTAGAGTAAGTAAGACGCCTAGTGGAGCCGCTTTTGTATAAATAATACAAGTGTCTGTTTGTGGTTTCTACTTGACAGGTTTCTACTTAATGCACCAGCAAAAAATCTGGCTTTCTGTTCGAGCTAATTTCTAAATGACTGGACCGATTTGATCGGGTATTCCATCCACAGGTAGGAGTAACTTAGGAAAATATTTCACGGCCTTAAAAAAACAAGTTATCAATTCAAATTATGCGGTTGTTGTTGTTGATTTTAAATTTAATTTTTAATTGAAAGTTCATTGTTGTGACGCGGTTAGACCCCTGTCAAGTCAGGAGCTAGTGAAGGAGTAATAATTGAGAAATTTAATGAAGCTTCAAAAGGATGATAATGCTTGTTATAAATAAAGGAAGCTAAGCATCAAGCAACTATTAGTTAAACATATATTTTCAGTAATAGGAGAGATAGGTTTTGATCTAATATTTTGGTCACAATATGGAGCTAATATAAACTCTTAACTTTTATCCATTTTTGTAAAATACAAAATAAAAAAAGTTTTTAAATATCTTGAGATCAATTTTGTGATGTTATTGATGAGATCAAACAGTTATTTGATTCTCAATCTTGACTTGTCTATAAATTTTTATTTTCTAAGAAATATCAAGTGTAGGAGAAAGAATAACATTCCCGTTATCTCAAAGTAAGAAATGTTATTTTATGAATTAATTCAAACATCTGATGTTGTGAAAAGGAAAATTTGACCTCATAAGTTATCAAGATAATAATAAAAAAACAGTTTTTATCTAAATATATATTTACACACAACAAGCTTAAAACAAAACAAGTGCAAAGTGTAACAAACCACCATTAACAATAATTAAATGCCCATTTATATAATGATAAATATTCATATTAATCTTAATGAATCACTTACAACAATTTTAAAAAAAGCTGATATTATCTTGCAGTCTATTTTCATAAAACGTGATTTTATCGGTGACCATTTGTGCCGTGATTTACCAGTATTTCTCAAGAGACTTCACCAAGTCGAGAGGGTCGGTGTTCGGGCCATGTCTTTCGACGGGTACACCATTTTTGTCGACAATGAATTTAGTGAAATTCCACTTGATAAAACTGCCCAAAGTTCCACCCTGCTTGTGCTGTAAATAATGAGAAAAATAAAACTTGAAGATAAAATACAATACAATTTAAAATTTATTATTCAGTTATAGATAAATTTAGATTCTACATTTTAATATAAATATTTGTATAGTTGAACAAAATACATAGTAGACTTTTATAAAAAGTTCTACTATGTGAATAAATTATAAGTTCAAACATTTGATCGAAATGACCTTAGTTACAACAACACAAACATAAAACAAGGTCAACAAAAATCAATAGCTAATCGTAATAGATATTTAATCTATTAGACCAATTCAACGTCTTATCAATATTTATCTATAATGACTAACAAATATATTACATGATATTTTTTCATAAACATACATTTACCTTCAGAAATTTCCATAATGGGTGCGCGGAATCCCCATTAACATCTATTTTCTCAAACATGTCGAACTTAACTTTGCGTTCATTCATGAAACAGACAATCTCTTCAGAGTTTCCAGGCTCCTGGCCAGCAAATTGGTTGCAGGGAAATGCCAAAATACGAAGACCTATAAACAATATAGAGTAGAATAAAAAACATAACAAGTTATATTGAAATATATTATTGCTTACATATTATCTGACACATAGGAATTTATTAATTGTTTCAAATGGTAAAAAAATACTAATAAAAGCAAAGTCTCATAAATTATCCAACACATTATAATTAATATAGTTGTTTCTTAAAGCTTTAATGACTGTAGTTTTTATAAAAATGTTGCATTTATTTTTATTACTGCCAAATATGTATATTATAGAAATTAAAGATTTTGAACCTATTTAGTAATTTTGGTGTATATAATGTACAAATCATAGAGTTCTATAAATTAGTTTGTATAGATTTCAAGTTTAATTATGAAGGCTATAGGAATTTATGTGTAGAGAAAATTTTATAAGTGTTTGTAAAAAACTTGCCTTTGCTCTCAGCATACTGGTCATACAACTCATTAAGCTGCTTGTAATTATTTGCCGTGAGTCCACACTGGGATGCGACATTCACGATGATGCAAACATGTCCTTTATAAACATCTAATTTGACTTCTTCGCCTTTTACATTCTTAACCGTAAATTCGTGGATACTTGTAGCACATTTGTAATCTGGATTGTTGCTAGCCATTTTTCTGTTATAACATAAATAAAATTTAGCAAAAGACAAAATAATAAAGGTGTAATTAAATTGATAATGCAAAATAAAAACACAAATCTACAATGTCATGAGTGACATCATGTAAATAAAGCACTAAGTCATCCGTGCCGGCCAGGTATTATGCAATAACATTACATAGTTACAGCGAATATTATTTGAAATAAATTATAAAACGTTTTTAAACTTTTCAACTTACATGGTACTGAGGTTTACCCGTGTTATACAAAATAAATTACCAAGAGCGGGCACAACAAGCTTCGATAAGGTTCTATACGCGATTGTCATGTTTATAGAATATAGACGTAGTGTTTCCAGTTGTTGAATATATTGAATTGATACTATTTACACCTTACGACAAGACTGAGGTCATTTCATCTACCGACAATTTTAGATCTTAAAGTTAATGTTAATTATGTAATTAAAATGACGTCTTCTGTAAAATGACTTCTTTTGAAATATAATTTTTAAACAACTTTAAAATTCGTTTCTTAATTCATCCGTATATTTTCTGTAGCATATATTTTTAATAAGCAAGTGTAAATGGTTTTTTAATTAGTAAGTACATTTCAAATACATTTTGTTAGGATCAGTTACGAGACTCAAATTAAGAGCAACCCGATAACCATATGATGATGTTACATTTCGTGCAAGTTTCGTCATAATTTTGTTAACATAATATGTAATAAAGTAAAAGACTTAATGTATCTTTTGTCACAGTTTTTTTCTATTTTACTCGTTTATTTCAGTTTATATGTATGTAAATTGCAATATCAATTGATTAGAAAATTGAAATGTCATTTGTTTTTTCTTTACATAATGTCTTTTGTAGAAAATGTATAAAATAGGAAAATCCTATTTATCACTATCCTCTAATATATTAAGGAGATTTATTTGATATATTTTTACATCTTCATTATTTGATATTTGGGTATAATGCAGAACTGTTAGTGACATTTGACAGTGACAACGAATACTTATATAATCTTTTTGACTTAGATACTTATTGATTATGACAGTTCATATCGAATGTACGAGTTTGTATTTGGTTCTTTACAAGTAACATCTCTAACAGTTTATTGGTGCTAGAAAAATCTATCCTTATTTGAAATCGATACTTGCATAAACTAAAACTATTCAGACATGGCTTTCATAATACCTAATGTATGTAAATGTTTATGCCTGAGGAATCGAGCCGGCCTTAACCTTGTACAAACTGCGTCATATCATGCCAATGTGAGTAAATTTTGCTTGTTCAAAGCTTAGGATCATCGATCAATTTTAGGGCTTACGGATAACATTTTTAATCGACAGGTGATTGACCACTACGAAAATCCTCGTAATGTTGGCTCTTTAGACAAAAAGGATGCTAATGTCGGTACAGGGTTGGTTGGGGCACCTGCTTGCGGTGATGTTATGAAGTTGCAAATTAAAGTTGATGAAAACGGGAAAATAATTGACGCGAAGTTCAAGACATTTGGTTGCGGGTCTGCTATTGCTTCCAGCTCCCTTGCTACAGAGTGGGTCAAGGGCAAAACAGTTGATGAAGCATTGAAACTGAAGAACACTGATATTGCTAAGGAATTGTCCTTGCCTCCGGTCAAACTGCATTGTTCTAGTAAGTACATGAAGATAATTCATCCTACTAAAAGTTCACATATGATGATGATAATAAAATAGTATATTCAGATATTGGGTGATTAAAATTTATATAAATTTCAGTGTTAGCTGAAGATGCTATCAAAGCCGCACTTTCAGACTACCGAATCAAGCAGCAAGGAAAGAAGTAAATCATGATTATCATGAGTTGGAACAGATCTGTGATGGCTATTTAAGTCTGGGGGATGTCATATTCAAAAGATGTTTAATGTTTAGAAGCTCTTTTTCCTCAAAAAATATTTAGATAAATAGAAAAAAATACTAGCGCTACAAATTTGTCCCCTTATTTAGCAGTAATTAATATATCTATGTTGAATTTTAATTAGAATGAATAAATTATAACTTAGATAAAGTGTTTTATTGAATTTGTTTGTGTTTTAATTTACCCTATTTTGTAAGCAAAATTTTGAATATAAATATAGGAAAATGTTATAATTCATATTGATTGCATGTGAATTCTCAGACATTAAGTATGTTCTACTTAAAATAATATAGAATTAAAGGAAATAAATTTTAATGAGCCATATACAGGGTGACTGGTGAATTACTATCGATACTTGAGGACGTGATATTTGACGATCATATATGACAAAATAAAAAGTAATATAACATAAATATTAATAAACTTCTAAGTAAATTTAACCAAAAGTTATGTAATTAATTACGCATCGTGTGAACACCCTACAGATTAGGTATACACACACACACTCGCGCGTGGCGGCGTGGTGTTGTATCAGCACGCCGCCGCGCGCGTCCACACTTGGAACACTTGGAACGTGTCTACACTTTATTTATTTATACGGAAATTTGATCAAAAATTAAGTACCTATTTTTTTTACATAATTCGAATGAGAATCATGTACCGAGTATGCTCCTTAAATATTGATAGTAATTCACCAGTCACCCTGTATATCTAGCTTTCCGCCTGCAGCTTCGCCCGCGTGGAATACGGTTATATCGCGTTTCCAAGATAACCTTTCAAAAGTCTGGGATAAAAACTATCCTATGTTCTTTCTCAAGGTCAACTCCATCTCTGTACCAAATTTCGTTAAAATCAGTTCAGTGGTTTAGGCTTGAAAGCGTAACAGACAGACAGACAGAGTTACTTTCGCATTTATAATATTAGCAAGGATAAAAAAGTCCATATTCATAAGGCGGCCAACTTTCCGAAAACTGAATGCGGGACTTAACCTTTCGTGAATGGCGGGGGGGGGGGGGGGGGGGGTAGTGATTGGGAATGTCATAAAAATCTTCGCAACTGCCCATATTAAATTTAAGTACTCTCTTACGCGTCATGAGTTCAGAAGAAAGAAAGAAAACGAGATTATCGCGGGCGCGATACGCTTGTCGCTATTATAGGTAATCTGTGTTCCTACACTGTTGACCGTGGTATGGGTGTTGTGTAGAAGTGTGGTAGAAAAATAGGGATGCGGGACATGCGGGACGCATACAAGGTTTTCCGGGACTATTTTACTAATAATTTCAAACCGGGATTTCGTCTAGAATTGCGGGACGGTCCCGCAGAATGCGGGACAGTTGGCCGCCTTATATTCAGAATTTATCATACAAAAATTGAATACTCTCATATAAGATAAAAATAAAAATAAAAATTGCTAAATATATATGTACTGAAAAGAAATATCTCATTCTGATAAATGCATTATCATTGATAATAAATATTTATTCATCAAACGATACACTAGATAGTCTTAAAAATTATGTCATTTTGATAAAAATAAAGGTTAAGGCAACATTTAATGTACAATTATAAAACAGTTTTATTTAATATCAATATATACAGGTAATTTCAAAGTTATGTTACAATTCCTAGCTTTTGCAATGCTAGTTGAGCGGCGTCGGCTTTAGCCTGTTTCTTGTTAGCACTTGCTACGGCCGGCTGATATTCTATACCTGCTACTTTTACCTGTAATTGAAATAATAATAACTTCATGTACATAAATTAATTTTACATATATCTGTGTTAATAAAATATTTATTAGTTATTCTTATATGTGAGTGTTTATAAGTGAAAACTAATGTAAAAATTCATATGGAAGAATTTGCTTTAAAAATGTTAACAAAGGAGATCATTCTTTTTGGGCCTTTTTTAAAAGTGCCGGCCAACAAAAAAAATGGTACATATTTGTAGAACTAACCATTTGGAACAATAGTTAATATGGCGCAAAAGTTGTAGGATCCAAGATATAGAAGTTATACAAGTTTCAAGATTCATCATTTTGGTACTTTATTTTTTTCTGAAAGTGCCAGGAAACATAAAATAATGATTGATATTGCTAGAGTTAAGCTTTTCAAGCAAATCATAGCCATAATCTGTTAGAAACCTGTCGTTTTTATGTAATACTAGCGAACCCGACAGACGTTGTTCCGCCAAGTATCTGAACGCATGCAACACATTTCTTGATGATTTTATTATTTGTCTAACCTAATATGTATATCGGGGTGCCATTTTTATATATCAAAAAAATGGGCCTAGAAGCACTTTTAACTGATTTTGTACCATTTCATGTCGGATTTGATCATATGACGCGAGAGCAAGTGGCGCAGAGGAACCTCATTGTGCCAGAGCGATAATTTGGTAATCCTGATAGTCCGATTGAAGAAAGAAAGGCCATCTCTTTACTTGATGGCACTTACATATATTTACGGAGGAGCACTAATTTCTTTTTTCAAAGAAAATCTTATAGCAACCATAACTTTCGAAATCTTTTAAAGCCTTTTTTAAATATTTGTTGCAATGGAACCATAATAGCGGTAGATGGCCCATCGCTGCAACAACCTCCGATGCCCAGATTTTAAATGATGCACTGAATAATGTATTTCACTGGTTTTACCGGCCTGGTGACATTTTTATAATAGACCGTGGTTTTAGAGATGCTATAGAAAATCTGGAGTCATGCGGTTATGTACATGCTCTGCGCCACTTGCTCTCGCGTCATATGATCAAATCCGACATGAAATGGTACAAAATCAGTTAAAAGTGCTTCTAGGCCCATTTTTTTAATATATAAAAATGGCACCCCGATATACATATTAGGTTAGACAAATAATAAAATCATCAAGAAATGTGTTGCATGCGTTCAGATACTTGGCGGAACAACGTCTGTCGGGTTCGCTAGTATTACATAAAAACGACAGGTTTCTAACAGATTATGGCTATGATTTGCTTGAGAAGCTTAACTCTAGCAATATCAATCATTATTTTATGTTTCCTGGCACTTTCAGAAAAAATAAAGTACCAAAATGATGAATCTTGAAACTTGTATAACTTCTATATCTTGGATCCTACAACTTTTGCGCCATATTAACTATTGTTCCAAATGGTTAGTTCTACAAATATTTACCATTTTTTTTTGTTGGCCGGCACTTTCAAAAAAGGCCCAAAAATGTATGAAGCCTGAATGATCTCCTTTGGCAATTAATCTTACTACTATTACCTTAGAGTACATACATCTAGTCTTGTGAAAATTTTATTACATAATTGTTGTTAGATAAAAATTTATATATACTAACATGCTTTAGAGATTGCGACATACATTTGATATTATATAAGAGTAGTGTTTTAAATTAAGTCTAATCAAAGAGTATTAAAGAAGAAAATTTATTAACAGAAGAGATTAAGAGTGATTGATATCCTTAATTATTACGTAAGGGCAATATGAACTTGCCAGACTTTCAAAATTTCTTTCGAGAAGCATTTCTTTAAATTACAAGATAAATTAAACCCTTGACCGGTGTTGTGAATGCACATAATTAAAATGTTATTTATTTATCAGAAGTTTAATAAAGTCATGTTGCATGATGTATATAGACTGAGTAGTTACTGGAAGGAAATAATTAATCAGAATTAATAATAAGAAAGTATATAATATTTATGTAGTTTTCTATTAAGGATTCTATTAAGTTATTTATATAGGTACCTTAAATAAGAAATTCTTCTTATGATCTGGTCCACATTCGAAGCAAAGACTGTACTCCGGAGGTCCGAGCTTCTGTTTTGAACAGTATTCACCAAGAAGTGATACAGGGTGTTTCCCTCCAGCCACGAGCGGCGCCGGGCCACGACGACCTATACGCTGCGGTTTCACCTACATATTAAATAATATCAAATAAAAGAATCACCCTGTATGCCTATAGCTAGTATAATTTAATTTTAACTCATCCACTAGTTAAATACTTGCTTTATAGTGTTATATTCTACAAATTTAATAATTTTAATTCAACCATTCTAATTGATTTCTTTCATTATGGCCAACTATGACTTATAAGTTTATTATCATGCATATTACGATTTTGGAAAAAGCACTGAAACATGCAAATTTTAGTTATTTTGCTCTACCATACAAAGTAAAAGGACCCACCATGCTAATGATTTTATTTAAGCTCATGGACTATAATTATTGGCTTCAATAAAGCTACTTCAGTCCAAAATCAATTTAACTTACGTGCCTTCCACGCCTGTTACTGACCTCCTCTTTAGACGTTAAACCCCTTGTGTCCAGCTTGACCTCTAACAATAGGGGTTGTAACGCCCCAGTGCCCTCTTTGCCCAAACCCCGACCGGGAGTCCAACCCATTTTCTGTAGCAGATGCATTCCCATCCCACCTTCAACGGGAGCAGCTCGCACCAACTGATCCTAAATCAAATCATTCCATTACATTCATTCGCAACACGATCTTATAACCTTGAATGATCATTGCCATATATCACCAATCATTCGTTCTTTTATCTTTTATCTTCCCATTTTTCTTTCCTTACCTTTGTTGCATATTAATGCAGACAGTGATCCGGTTAATGAACCGCCCATCGATCCTTAGCTCTTAAAAGCTGCAACAAATATTCAAGAATTCCCCGTTTAAGCCCAGCTTTTCTTAATACCAGTTTTTACATCGTGGCTTAGAATCACTGGGCTTATGTCTTATTTTGGATTTTATTGGATCACTAATTTCGACAAGAGCTAATCAATTTTCAAACTGACTTAATTTTATTTAGCATAAAATGTTTTGAATGTATCAGTATATTTTTTTAATCGTGACAGTAATTATATATTCTTTTAACTATAGGGAAAACTGAATATTTGTTAACATTCATGATAATTGAAATGCCCTTATATGGCATAAAAATTACCACAGTGCAATTATTTTTTGGAGTGTAAAGAGTGAACTACTACAGTTCTCTCTTTACACAGAGAACGGTTTTGGTAGCGATGGTTAAAATAACATTAACCAAAACTCTATATATGAATATATTTAATATTAAAATAGAAATTTATTTAAATATTGTCCATACTAAACAATTAATAGTATTACTATTGGACTATATGTGATGTAGTAGCAATATAAATCTTCTGGACTATTAATGAATATACCGATATAAGTCTCATGGACTATTCATATATTTGAGTAGCCAATGTTGTAATAACCATCATGATATATGAAATAAGTCAGAAAGAATAATACAATGTATTATATTCTCTGACCGAAATCCGCACCATCGAGACGTTTACGCATTTCCCGACCGACGGTTGAGCTGAAAGAAAATTTATTGAAAGTATCGAGTATTACACAGAACCACAATATATTTGAACTTAATTAGATTTATTCATTAGCTGTAATAAAAACACAAATACTATTTTAGGTATATAATTGTTTATTTATCAATTTATTATTTTTCCTGGGTTCTGTCTAATACTTGTTGCTTTATGTCACACAAAAACGTTATAAAAAATATATATGTATATACATACATTACATTATATATATCACACTCAGTAATTCGTTTTAACTATAATTTGTGCGTATGTATATTTGTAATTTTTCCAACGATATTATCTAGTAAACCACGTTTCCGCCAATACAAAAATGATTTTAGTCCATAATATTTTATATTGCTTTTTTTCCCTTCAAATATCGAACCTTTTTTTTAAAATATAAATTGAATTTCTAACTTCATTACGTAAAACCCTATCCAGTTTACAATATAAAACGGACTTTATCTGTTTTGAAGCTTACCATAGCTTCAAAATAAACCAAAAGTAAATCAGCCTATTTGTCAATATGTACCACCTTAGTGTATAATAACAGGCTTTATTTACAGAGTTTAAGGATCATAAGACAAAAGGACTATAAAATTGTTTATACGCAATTCGGACTATACATCAATGTACGTACCTTCTTAGCCCACGCTTGAGCCCCGCTGGCTAGTTCTCTTGGGGTCAGTATTTGAGCTCCTGTGGACCCCGTGAATTGCCCCAGGGATGAATTCTTGAACCCGAACTAGAATTAATAATATTTATTATACATATATGAGTCCTTGTATACAGATTTTATAAATAAAGATAATTGTTAAATTATTTAAAGTCATTATTATGTACATGATTATTATTTAAATAAGAAAATTCTAATAATTTTTTATATGAAAAAGGTATAACTTTAATATATTGGTGACTAGCAAGTATAAGGTTACTCATTTAATTATTAATAATTTTTTAGAAGAATTTACATACATATAATATGGAAAAAAGTTTTGCTATGAAACCTTATCTCCTCTTAATAGCAATTATTATGTTATTTAGTTTATTAACATATACATACACTTACCCCATGTGTAGGTGTAACTTCATAAGTTTCTTGTTCTTTTCTTATTAAAGACAACTTCTCTGACACTATTGATGCAACATCCTGTAATACATTCAATATTTGTTACAACATTCTACAATTTACAGGATGTATAAAGAAAATATATATGTAGTTAATTTTAACTAATATTATATTATCAATTTGAATACTTTACAAGACACTGCCTCACTTGTAATAACTATCACAGGGTTTGGCAAATTAAACTCACTGTTGGTTCAGATCTTGATTATATTTTATTAATTTAGCTTTTATGTATTGCTTTGAGAATTTTACTATTGTTGCTGCTGCCATCTATTAATAACTTAAGGTACTAAATTACATACAAAGAATAAGATTATACAAATACCTTTGCCTTGTCTATTGTTGATGGAGGGGCTGGCAATGCAGGAACTGTGCTCAGACCTTAAAACATTAATTTTTGTATCAAAATTAGTTTAAACTTGTTATATCTTAAATGAAAACAATGTTTTAGATTTTGAAATCTTAAAAAGAACATTGTAACAAATACATCTTTGTAATGATGCAATGATTGTGAAAATTATAATATTTTTAACTGTACTATAGTAATAAAAATATATTTATTTTCAGAGACAACACATAGTTTAGCTTCGATGTAGTATATAAGAAAAGAAACATAAAATTTTAATCATAATTAATATACATAATGTACATTTATATGTAAGTTTCATACTCACTGTTTCCACCTGTGAACACTTTTAAATAATCCGGTTTGGGCGCTGGAAGGGCGATTGGTTCCCATCTAAAGTAAAATAAACACATTATTATATTAAAGTTACATTATTTAATATGTATTTGTTGTTAGCCAACTCACGTTTTCGCCAATGGACTCGATGGCTTATTGTTTATGATCGCCACTTGCTGAAAATTTAAGTTAAATATTATTATTAAGTTCGATATTTGTTTTTTCAATATATATTATAATAATACAGTAATACACCGCTTTAGGCGAGCGATACGTTCCGAAAAAAAATTGCGTTAACTGAAATTCGCGTATATCGAGGTTGATGATTAAACATAGTTAAAATTTAGTACAAAAAATATGTCATTTTTATCAATCACTTTACTAGGAACACTAAGCAATACATACTCTTTTTTTTAAGAAAAAATACATGTATTGTCTTTTGGGTAGCGTTTTGTTTACTTTCTTGTAAAATACGTTCATAACACCCTACACTGTTTTTAATTGCAGTCTGACACACGGTCATCATTATTGTATATGCTCTACAATATGTCCAAACTTGAATTAATTTTTGAAATTCGCGTTATAGTGAAACCGCACATAACGGGGTCATGCTAAGCGGGGTATGTATGTATGACTGCATGTTTTTTTTCAAACTACTAAAGTCTAAATATATTTATTAACATACTATCCTTATGATAACATACATATATACTTGTGAGCTGTAAAGATTTAGACTTTAGTGTAATAATAATATAGTGATACTAGTTTGGGCGACTACTTCATCCACATTTTTATTAATAAAAATATGTTACTAAAAAGTTGCCTCAATAAAATCTCATATTAACTATCTTAAAATGAAATTCATGTAATTGATCCTACCTTTGAGAATTTATCCAGAACAAAACAGATTTGTAGACTTAGTTGTAAAAAGTGTTTGTTATGTACATCCATATTCCATATGTATTTTAGTAGATGCAATTATCTTAATATCACATATACAGGGTGACTGTTGAATTACTATCAATATTTAAGGAGAATACTCAGTACATGATTCTCATTCGAATTATGTAAAAAATAGGCACTTAATTTTTGACAAAATTTCCGTATAAATAAATAAAGTGTTGACACGTTTCAAGTGTTCCAAGTGTGGACGCCTGCGGCGGTGTGCTGATACAACACCACGCCGCCGCACGCGTATGTGTGAGTGTATGTGTATACCTAATCTGTAGGGTGTTCACACGATACGTAATTAATTACATAACTTTTGGTTAACTTTACTTAGAAGTTTATTAATATTTATGTTATATTAATTTTTATTTTGTCATATATGATCGTCAAATATCACGTCCTCAAGTATCGATAGTAATTCACCAGTCACCCTGTATACAGTGCCGGCGTTAGAGGGACTGACACCCTGGGCAAGAATATTTTGGCGCCCACTTAATGAAATCAAAATCGAGTATTAATTTTTTTCTGAACCAATGTGAATACTGAACGTGTATTAAGAATTCTATATTCCATCTACCATCTTTCCTTTAGCGTGACCCAGAGCTAACGACGTGGATGTACAAAGTTATGTAGCTCCTACTTTTTTTTTCATTTATAAGTATCCTACCTCCACTAATCGCCCCCCCAAATTTGGCGCCCTGGGTCGTCGCCCCATCGCCCCCCCCCCCCCTAACGCTGATAATAAGGAGATTTTTTTGTATTGAATATAAATGAGTTATTAATAATATATACCATATCTTCGTTATCCGTTGTATCAGCTTTCTCTCTATGCTGTGTTCCCGATGACACAGGGAACTGTAGTCGTAGTTCATCTTTATTTGCTACAGGGAGACTGGTTTTGGTCGGCAATGGAGCGCCACCCTGGAAACAGTTACAATTGACTTGATTAATACAATCATTATTAACTTGTATAACAAGGTCAGAAGTTATCAAAATATTAAAAAAATCTAATAAGACCATTTAAAAAATTAATAAATCAGGTTAATTTGGCTTAAAATTGTTATAATTTTTTTTGCAGGAAACAGTGGCTCAGCAATTTAATATATTCGTTGCTTATGTTAAGTATAGTGGGAGATTATTTATTAATGAAACTTCGTTGACTTTGGATTACACATCATAGATAAGTTTTTTTTATGCCAACATAGTCACTTTTAGGTCGATAGGGACAATTTTACGGTACATAGAAAAAAATTTATAACTTGATATGTATATAAAATAAGTGGAAGAGAAGGTATTACATATAGTTAATTGATGATTTCTAGCAGATAGCCTTATATTAGCTTAAGGATAAGACGAAATTTATATAAATGAAGTAGCTGTAGGTATTAATAATACAAATACATTTTAAATATTATAATAATATAAATACCCTTATATTCATAATAATGGGCGCTTTTTCCTTGACCAGGAATGGATGGTGGAAGGCTATTGTGTCTTCATTCTCTGACATATCTTCATCATTGGATGACACAGATGATAGCTCACCCAGAGCTTCCTTCTTTGATAAATGTTTACAGAAATCTGTCAATTCATCCACTGATTTACCTGGAATGTCGTATATGCAATCATTACTCTGTGATATTCAAAATGTTCAAAACTGTTGAAAAATATAAATTAGTAAGAATTGAAGTATTATGGACTCAATGTGACATTCGATTCTTGATTTACAGAGATTTGAGTTAAGTTTACAAAGGTTTTGAGTCCTTAAAATGTGGAAAATACTTAGGGTACTTTGGTTATTCCCAACTTTCATATAAAAAGCACAACACCCACTTCCAATAAAAGTAATATGAATGAAATAAGTAAAAATAATAACAATATTGTTGGTGCAGCAAAAACATTATACAAAAATACTAAACTATAATAACCAATAAATATGATTGCTTAACTCAATTACCAATGCCAGTATAAAATTATTTTTTTCTAAAAGTATTTTCTCTTCTCTCTATTTACCTACTCTATACAACATCATAAAATACACAATTCCTTAAGTATCCTACTAATATTATAATTGCGAAAGTTTGTGAGTGTGTGTGTATGTTTGTTACTTTTTCACGCTCAAACGGCTGAACCGATTTTTATAAAATTTTGTATACAGGAAGCTAACGTCCAGGAATAACACATAGGCTACTTTACATCCCGGAACTCCCGCAATTCCGCGGGTAACACCGCGGGGCGCAGCTAGTAGTTATATATTTATTTGTGTGTGTGTGTATTTGTTTGTATGTATGTGTGTGTGTATTGTGTGTGTGTGTGTGTGTGTGTGTGTGTGTGTGTGTGTGTGTGCGTGTGTCTCATTACCTCCAGACTGTATAGCAGCCATGACCTGACTCCGTGTATGTGGCGGGAGGGCGGCTGCTCCGGCGGGAACAGCGCCGTTCTTCAACATGTTAATAGCATTACGTCGAGCTACTTCTAACAAACGCTTCTTTTCACTGTCGGCTAAACGGACGCCGGTTGGAGATCTGAGGAAATTCAGAAAGATTATAACAATTATGCAGATATTAACGGGGTAAAATATATATGTTTTGCTATTTCACAATGCATATACTTATTTGGAGGGATTTAAACAAAAATATGACAAAAACTATGCGTGTGTAAGAATGATGGATATAAAATTAATTATGATTATATTAGTCACTACTTGGAAGAAGTGAACACTTGTAACAAATATTTTAAGTATTTTCTAGTGAGATTTGGGCACAAATTGTAGTATTAAGTTATGGATAAGAATTACATGGATAAATATACATTATCCTATCCTACTAATATTATAATTGCGAAAGTTTGAGAGCGTTTGTGTATGTTTATTACTTCACGCTCAAACGGCTGAACCGATTTTGATAAAATTTTGTATACAGGAAGCTGACGTCCAGGAATAACACATAGGCTACTTTACATCCCGGAAATCCGCGGGTAACACCGCGGGGTGCAGCTAGTTACCCATATATCCTTATATGCGAAAATTTACCTAGATCTCCGCCGATGTCTCGATGAGTGTCGAGACCTGTGTCTTGATTTCGATGACGAGCGATGTCTAGATTTCGATGTGGATCGATGTCTGGATCGCGATGTGGATCGATGTCTCGACCTGGATCTCCTGGATCTGGATCGATGTCTTGAGTGACTCCGCCTGGATCTCGACCGGGTTCTGTGATGGGATTTGGAGCGACTCCTGTGACGTCTTCTGTGACGTGACGTTGAACGAGATTTGGAACGTTTTCTACTAGTTGACCTTGAAATATAAATTGTAGTGTTATAGAATATTCTTTTATGTTAAATGATGTAGTAGAAGTATTTTAAGTCAGTGGTAGCGTAATGGTTAAAGGGCCCGCCTCTCGTTGCCGAGGGCGCGGGTTCGATCCTGGCAAGTACCAATGTGATTTTTCTGAATCATATGTACTTTCTAAGAGTATTTAGACATCACTGATTAGAAGAGGGTTCCCAAAGAGGCTTGATGTCAGGCAGGCGGCCGGTCGTAAAAAAAAATAGCCAAAACTAAAAAAAATATTCACAACATGTAAGGCAGGCCCTGGCTAAAGCTGGGAAATTGCCAGGTAGAAGAAGTATTTTGTATATAAATAATTTTTTCACAAAAGTTTCAAGCAGTACTTATAATCATTTCTGATAGATCACTTTATTAGTATGTATAGGGCTTGTCACTAGTTTATTTATATTTGACCAATAAACAATATTTTATTTTTGTTATGCTAAAAATATAGCTTGTGTCAGTTTGTTACTAATGTTTAACACACAAGATATAAATATCTTACGATTAGTCCGTCAATATCACAAATAAGAAATATCATTTACACTTTTTGTTTAAGTAATAAGATCTTTTATTTGGAAAACCTATTATAAAATCACTGTTATTATTTACATTTGTGTATGTTGAAAAAAAAATGTATATTATAGTATTATTTATTTCAACAGTTCCTAACTGCTATCCAGAGATTTGTTCTAAACTATCTCATGTGTGTTAAATTGACAAGTCACTCTGCATAATGTTTGAGATTTTTTTACAGTAATCTTCTAACAAATATTTTTGAATAGTATGTAATGAAATTAAAATTTATTAACTTGTTATTATATCACAAAACCAATAGACATTTCTGTATGTATATATTTTAATAATAGGCTATTATGAAACATTTTCATGTATACTTACCGTTTTCTTGATCTACTCCTATCTCTATGTGAAGTTTTATGTGATTTTTCTGTAGTTTTCACTCTATTTACAGTTTTTTGCTCTTCGATTCTGTAATTTGAACAATTGTCTCATTAGTTATGTTATATCAACACATACATACAAACTCATAAGCAATAAGTAATTAAACATGAATAATTTTTGAGCACTCCTTCAACATAAGGAGGATGTAGCAATTTTCAGAATATAGTGTTTTCTTGTTGAAAGTATTCTAAATTTTCTGTTCATATGTATTTTTAGGTATTGAAATCAATTTAAATAATAAAAATAAGTTTCTAGTGCTTTATATTTTATATATGAATAAAGTTTTAATAGAATAATGTTAGACAAGTTATCATTATATCAAAGACGTGTAGAAAACTATAAACATTAAGGTTTATTATACAATCTCCGCACTATCAAAGTTCTTAGTATCTAATCAAGACGTTATTCATTCATAAATCCCTTTTAAAATCCCTACTAATATTATAAATGTGAAAGTAACTCTGTCTGTCTGTCTGTTACGCTTTCATGCCTAAACCACTGAACTGATTTTAATGAAATTTGGTACAGAGATAGAGTTGACCTTGAGAAAGAACATAGGATAGTTTTTATCCCAGACTTTTGAAAGGTTCTCTTGGAAAAGCGATATAACCGAACTCCACACGGGAAAGTTGAGTTGAAAGCTATTATAATGTAACATTGATACATGACATTGGCGAAGTTTATAAGGAAATGCCACTGAATTCTTACTTTTTAGAAAGAGAGATTATTTATTATGAGAGTTTACTTACAATTTAGTTTCTTCAGCAGCCTGTTGTCTTAATATTCCGACTAGATCCGATGACTTAGGAAACTGTGAGTTAGATACTTCATCGCCATCCGAACTACTCGATGAATCCGTGTATTCTCCTTCTTCCAATTTCTCCTTTTTCTTCTTAGCTTCCTCCTCAGCCTTTTTCACAGTTTCTTCGAAAACCGTACTGAACTTCAGATTCTTAATTTGTATTTTACTTTTTGTTTTGTCATTATCTGCTACATTTTCCTGTTTTTTATCTAATTTCGATCTCAGATCTGATTTAAGCTTGTCAATCGGAGATTCCGGCATGGGGATTTCACTAGCATCAATATCATCGTCCAGTACTATACAGGAGTCATTCGTATCGTCCTTAATAACTTCTGTCTTAACCGGTTCGGTTTTGATTTTCAATTCTTCTTTAACTTTAACCGGCGCCTCTTGATTTATTTTATCCAGTTCGTTTTTAATCTTTACCTTTAATTCTTTTTTAGATATAGGTGATTTTGAACGACGGCGTGAGGGTGAGCCATCCTCCTTACGTTTTTTAGACTTACTCTTTTTTCGCTTTTTACGTTTCCTACTGTAATCACTATCACTACTAACGCTGGCGCTTCGACTGCGTTTCTTCTTTTCCTTTTTATGTTTCTTCTTGCTTTTTTTGGCCTTTTTAAAAGCAATATCATCAATTTTCGGAGGGTCCGCATTAAAAGCACTAAAAAGTTCAGAGAGTATTTCACTGGATGACTTTGTTGTATCGTCTTTTTTTCGGTCAGGTGTTGTTTTCTCTCGCTTTATCAACATTTCAATCTTATCTATTAAACTAGTCATTATTCCCAGCAAACGTTTAGAATTTCAGCCAAAATAATCAGACTAAATTCATAGTTGTTAAGACATAATGCACGAAAACATATAAAACAATCAAAACAGATCCTCCATTATGGCATAAAATAGAATTTGACATTTGAATTTTAGTATTTTGACCATTTTACCACAGATAACACAGATTTTTAAAGAAAAAACAGTCGTTATTATAATACTTTAAAATATGTAATTAGTAAATAATTAGAGAGATAGGTAAACAGAACTACTTGAATATTTTTTACTGGAATTGATATTAATAATAATGTCAATGAGGTTAATTAAGTTTTAATTCTTAAGGATTGCGTAATCGCATTGTAAGTGGTTTAATAATTTATTTAGTGGATACATATATTAAGCACGGGAATACTAATCGTATATTATAAAATTAGAAGAAAACGTTTGAATAATGGTAAAAGACAAGATAATTTAGAAATAAGAGGGATTTTTCAAAAATTTTTATTTTATTGTCAGCTCCTAGCAAAATCCCAATTTCGACTCTTCCGATAAAGTTATCAAAGCAGCAGGTCTTTTTTCTATATGAACAAAATATAAAATGAGAAACAAACAGAACTAGAATTCATCTAAAATGGATGAAAAATTGTTTTTATTTCTGACTGTATAAGTAACTTTATGTCTGTGTATATTATTATTAGACAAACCTAGTAATACAGGTGAATAATTGAACCAAAAAAAAACACTTTTTGTTTATTGTTAATAACTTATCGACAAACAAAAAATTGACAAAAAGCTCAAGGGAATGAAAAACAGAACAAAAGATTTTATTATATTTTGATTAAAAAAGTGTTTTTGCTATTTGAAACTTAGAAAAAAGTAACAACTGTTAATAAATCAACCGCAAATCTTTCTTTAGTTACTGCAGAGCCATATTTGATTTCATATGTAGCTTTTATAGAACCTTTTTAGATTCTTTTCTTTTTATTTTAGCTTAGAAAGTATTAAATTCTTCTTTTACAGATATTTTTTGTAACTATTTCTTCCATTATTTCTGTTCTTTTATTTTTAATTCCAATCATCATAATCTCCAAGACTTAAGTAACTTTTATAAATTCTCATCCCTTAGAAATTATAATCTATTGTATTTCTCAGAACTAACTACCATATTGTTTTAAAATATTTCCTTTTCCTTTTTAGTTTTTAATTCGAAAATGAACACAACACTAAATAAAAGTACAAAAATAGAGTAATATTATTTTTAATGATACTATTGTAGTAAAATTGTTTTTTTTTATAGTTTAGGTATTATTAATATTATTTTTAGACATATGGAACTCGGTTTAAACTTATTATTGGAGTATTTTAATTACTATACCTATTTAAATAAATATTTTAAATGAGTTGATAGTTATAACTAATTTAATTCTGTACTCAATATATGAGTATAAAAAAATCTTCTTAAAATTATTATTAAGCATGACTATTTAATTATTATTACACCAAGAGTTTAAAAAAAAGTATAAAGAGGTAGAAAAAGGAGTACCCAAATATTTTGTTTTTTGTATTATTAAATCGTTAAAATAGTTTTAAGGGTTTTTTTAGTCTATGTAGCTATTATAAAGTGGCTGGTGATGCAAATAGTTTGAAAAGACTTGAGTACTGACCATATAGGATTAGATTTAAGTGTAGGGTTTTTGGTTACAAAATTATCCATTACCCACTTGAAAATCCTGTTGATGAAGAGTAAGAATTGATGTTTTTTTTTTTGCATTGTATTCATAGAATAAATATACTTGTAAAAAAAATGAGGAATTTAAGTAAAAATTAAATATAACTAGGTGTTTTTAAAAATATTTTATTGGCTGTATATTTTGAACATAGGATTTTCCTTGCTTCGAAAATAATATGAAAGCTAGGAAAAAATATCTTGATCGTATTTAATAATATTTTTAAGGAAAAAATAATCTGTTCAACATACATTTATATTGAAATAAGTAAATAAAACACATTTTAGTATAATATATAATTTTATTAATTTTTCTTCATACCTTTGGAAGGTAATGCGATAAACACAATAAAGAACGGAATCTACTTTATTCCTGTAGCTTTTGATTTTGATTTAAACAACTTTCGTTAATGTACTGAATTTTGCTCCAATAGTGTCTAGGACGGATACTTGTCCTTTTTGCTCAGGCAATGGAATGTGTTTGAAAAAACTGTTCTTATAATTAATATTTTGAAGAGATTTCGAACTACTTAATCATATGCACCTACGAATAGTAGGAAAAGTGGGGAAGCATCAGCATGATTGCATTCGATGATCATTGATTTTCTAATTATTAGATGTGCTTTGTTTTTTTTTTATCTTAACAAAAGGCGGAATAAGATTTCAAACATTACATAGTATTATTTTAAATGTTTCATTCGTCAAACGTGTTTTTATATTAGACTATAGAGTTTAACAAACTGTTATAAGGTATTAACTATGGATCAATTGGTATACCATCAATTTTAATCTGACATAAGAAGTGAAATAATTCATTGAGATCAAATTTTTAGTTTCAACAATTCTTGAACGGTAACTAAATGTCAAATAAGAATTGACAGTAACCATTCTGACAGTTGGATACTTTTTTCTTTTTAATTTTTCACTCACTTGCCATATTTAATAATTGCTTATTGCTATGTCAATTGATGAATTAAGTTACTATAAAACAGTTTATTACTAGATTTTACATTTGTCCTGCTAATAATTAAAATGTATTTGGCATTTTGCATTAATGACGCAATCAACTTTATAAAAGGTGGAAGCTCTTAATTTGAGCAAAATTTTATATAAAATGATCTCAAGCTAAGTGCCGGTTTCAAAAAGTGCTCATTCATTTATCGATCTTTTATGATTAATTACAATAATGCTATAGATTAATTTTAACATTGGATTTAACAGTTGTAATTAATTTTGTCCAATCACATCCATGACAAGCTATTACAATTCTCAAGACATTCACGGTTATATAAAAATAAATACAAAACTGAATATTACAATACAAGCGTCCAACTAAATAAGAACAATATAAGATGAGTCGTTACAACTTCCTCATGTACACATTGGATATAAATCACGAATAACTATGCCAATATAATTGTAAAATATTTTTCCCATATTAAAAATACCTACCTATCTACTTTTCGTATCAAATTTTTATTGATTTTTTTTGCTTTTACCACCACGTAAAAATTACCATATATAAAAAAACCGAGTCTACATACATAGAATATAAAACAGTAACCGGAAACTGCTCATCGAAAACCAGTTTGACATCCAGTACGGATGCAGACTTGACTCTTCCATATCCTCTCAAATACCCTTCTATAAAACCAGCAAAAGTATATAAAAACAAACAGACAAAAAAAATAATAATAATTCAATAAGCAATCTATTATTGTTATATCAAAATCTATAAATGCTATCTTATTTTTTTTTTCTTGGATTACAAAAAAATTATGGCCCTTACATGTTTCGTAACTATATAATCTGGACAATAACGGTGCTTAGATATTTGGATTGTGCAACTCGAGTGCTGACGGTAACTTTTATCTCATATTAGTTTCCTATCAATTATCACACAGATAGAACATTGTCCCGAAACTTCAAACTATGAGATAAATAGCTCCGCTTCAACGAGTGGTAATAAAGCATTCGCCTAAATGATATACTACCAACTGGAACAAGACTTTTAGAAATCTTGAATAACCGTCTCCCTCCAATAATATTAAGGGTTGGCGACTGTTGGTTTTGGTTTCTGTCTCAAGATTTCGAAATTCTTGAACAGTTAGCATCATTGATATCAGTAACTAAGCTAGCGCTAGAACGCAGCAAACGGCTACTGCTTTCAAATATATATTAATACAAATAAAAAGTATGTTTAAAAGAAATATTAGACACATTTTATGTTCACGACAACAACTGTTTATTCCCAATACATCAGAGCTAAATGGAATATAATTTGAAAGCACTACCCGTCCCATCTTATAGCTACCGCTAAATTTCTCTAAACGATCAAAGATCGCAAGCTAAATTGATTTCAAAATTCATTAAAAAAATAAAATCTGCTAGTGATCAACGTTGAATTAGCGAGGACGCAAAACGGCGCGCACCGTACGGAAACGCTTCTCGAAGCCCAGTTTTGAGTAGAGAGAACGGGACGCGTCGTTTTCTGGACGTATAACGACGAACGGCTTATAGCCGCGCGCAGCTACCTCCTTTGTTAAACGCCTCGCTAGGAATATACCGTAGCCTTTCCTACGGAATTCTGGTCTCGTCTGCATAGAGAACATAGCGCCGTAGTATGACTGCACCATCCATGCTGCTAGCTGACCTTCAACGAAGATGCCGTACGCTGGAAGTTCGGCGACCAACTTCTCGAACACTTCACGACATTCGATGTCGCTAGCTGGATACAGATCGTGAACAGCCTTCATGTGTTCGGGCTGGAGGCGGACTAACTCCACGTCCGGTGGCAGTCTGTGAATACACAAAAAATATATTACAAATAAGAAAAAAACTATAAAGATATTGGAGCTAGATGCTAGACTAGGTTTTGCCCGAGATTTCGTCAGCGTTAATTTCGGAATTAATAATATGTATATAGCTGACCGGGCAAACTCTATATCGTCATAAATGCCGTAAATAACCAGATATTGAAATTTATTAAGATTTTTTTTGTTTTTACATCGAACAGAATTGTATATCCTATGTCTGTCTCTTGGTTCTAAGATATATCCCCACCAATTTTCAAGCATATCCTTACAGTCGTTCTTGAGTTATAAATAGTGTAACTAACACAACTTTCTTCTATATACCTACATGAATATGGTACGGTAGCGTTTTAAAAGCTCAATCCTTACTATATCTCGTTTTAAAAGCTCAATCTTTACTATAATCCTAGCAAACGACTTTTCTTTTTTATTTAATACTAGTAAACCTGGCGAACTCCGTTTCGCCACCAGAAGACTTTTATATAACATTTCGTTTGGTGATTAAAAGATGAAGAATTTTTTGTTTTATATTTGAAAAGGAAAATTTTTATTTCATTTCACAACAGTAATGAATTCATTTCGATTACAAAAATGAAGTGTTATTTAGTTGAACTTCTCTAAGTAAATGAAACTGAATCCAAAGTAGATACCGAATCGAAGCGTTATACGTGTCCGCAAATTATCCGTTTCATTGAAGTGCTCCTTTGTAAACCACATTTTTTGTTTTTTGGTCTAACTTTAACACAAATAAAGCGTATGGTTTCCAAACTCGTGAACACGCAAAATATAACTGCCCATGTCAAAAACAAAGATTTTCTAAATTTATCCCGCAAATACTAAATGGTTTTAAGAGTTCAAACTACAAACACATTACCTAAATATTTTTATTTTTATATAGTAGATTTCTTACAAATATCTAATTGTCATCCATACGTCATTACATATCTGTCATTATACGTCAATTGCATAACTGTCAATTGTGTTATTCCACGTTTTATAGTGACTGACATTTCGTGTCAAGTCCCACAGGAATGCTGTCGAACGGGATAAAAAGTATCCTATTGCGATTTCCTGGTTCTAAACTACCTCCCTGCCAATTTTCAGCTAAATCGGTTCAGCCGTTCTTGGGTTATAAGTGGAGTCACTAACACGGCTTTCTTTTATATATATAGATATTTTATTTACAGAGTATCTACACATATAAACTCCCGTTTATTTTAGTCTAAAAGAAACTATTGGTACTCCATATTATCCCTACTAATATTATAAATGCGAAAGTAACTCTGTCTGTCTGTCTGTTACGCTTTCACGCCTAAACCACTGAACTGATTTTAATGAAATGTGGTACAGAGATAGAGTTGACCTTGAGAAAGAACATAGGATAGTTTTTATCTCAGACTTTTGAAAGGTTCTCTTGTAAACGCGATATAACCGAACTCCACGCGGACGAAGCTAGTTCACAATAATTACTATACAGGGTGACTGGTGAATTACTATCGATATTTGAGGATGGGGTAGTTGACGATCATATATGACAAAATAAAAATTAATATAACATAAATATTAATAAACTTCTAAGTAAAGTTAACCAAAAGTTATGTAATTAATTACGCATCGTGTGAACACCCTACAGATTAGGTATACACACACACTCACACATACGCAGCGGGGGCGTGGTTTTGTATCAGCACGCCGCCGTACGCGTCCACACTAGGAACACTTGGAACGTGTCAACACTTTATTTATTTATACGGAAATTTTGTCAAAAATTAAGTACCTATTTTTTTTACATAATTCGAATGAGAATCATGTACCGAGTATGCTCCTTAAATATTGATAGTAATTCACCAGTCACCCTGTATATTCTCAAACAGTACTAACTCTTCAATGTTTTCATCTGGCGGGTTGACACAGACGTATACATCTCCTGTGATTTTGTCGTGGGCTTCATAGCGTTTTTCAAATCTTTCCACGATGGCCTCGTGTGTGAAGTTCAGGTACAATGGTTGTGTCAGGTCCAAGAGTATGTCTTCCGAGGTTAGCAAGTCGACTAGCTCTGAACGCTCGGATGGACAGAATATTGTCACGCTCTCATATGGATGACGGTTTGGCTGGAATAATATAGAATAATAGATAGATAGATAGATAGATAGATAGATAGAATATACTCTACTGTACACGACAGCAGTAAATTTTACACGAAACAGAAATGATAAATTAAAATGTACAAAGTATTGAGATTTATAACAATATTTTATACGTTCTATACGTTGATGATGCTTTAATTTCTTATGTTTAAATGTAATTATTGGTTTTAAAGTAAGAAAAATTTTAATGGAATTAATTAGATTTAATTACATACTTAAAGTTTTTATATATTTATTTTAATCAGTGTGAAACGTAAAATCGTGTTTGTTAAAATAGTTAGCGCAAAATTTATTTCGAACAGATATGTAGATACTAAAAAATTTTAAGTTTCATTTTCTATTGTTATTAACGTATATTCTAATAAAACTTAAAAAATATAAATGTCGTGGATGTTTAAAAGTTGACTCAATAAATGTTTAACATTAATTAACTTTAAATGTAAATAGTGACATAATTCAATGATAAATATAAGCAAAATTTGATGCAAATTGCAGTTTCTTTTGAAGTAAGATTCCACTTTTTAAAAGTAACACTCACTTTGAAGTCTACTTACGCTTCGTTAAAGAAGCTGCCGCTGTGATTAATATGCGGCAAGAAAATGTAGGTTTTATTAAATTTTACAAGATATTTCCTAGTATTTTTTGGAGCTTAAATATCTTAATATATACGTATTATATCTATATAACCTATATATGATTTCTCGTAGTTTCAATAAAATGGTTTTGTTCAGACTAACCGATTTTTTGTATTTTTTTCGTATTTATTGTCAAACTTTATGTTTTTTTCTGGTCTGTCGAGTGATGGTGAAGGCGATGGGCCTTGACGGCCTGGTGATGGTCTTAACAAATTATAAAACGAATTATGATAGTATTATCTATACTTATTTGTTGTTAGTGATTTCAAGTATGGGCCATCCATAAAGGATGTCACACGTTAATGTGAGTGTGATATCGTGTGACAAAAGGCATGGAAGGGGGGGGGGGTTGTGTGAATAGTTTTGTGACGTCACATATAAAAATTTAACACTACAACGCAAAGTTTGGATGTGAATTGAAATTATTATGTTTTATGTACTGTTGGACTTTATGTTGATTTTGTTAGATTATTATTTATTAAAAATAAATAAAACGAAAATAGCAGTTATTTATTTTTTTAAATACGTACATAAAATAACAATTATGACGTCACATCAGGAGGGGGTTATAAATATGTGTCAACCAAGATTTGGGCAAGGGTTCAAAAGTCCCAAAATTCGTGTCTTACTTTATGGATGGCCTTAAAATTCTATGAATAATCATAAAAAAACTTACAGTGCTCGTGCATCCAGGGAAATGAAGACAAATAGGATCCTCCGGCCAGTTCTTCGCTACATAAAAATGGAAATCCCACACCTTGTTGTTAAGATATGTTTGAATCGTTTGATGGAACTGCAAACCAGAATAAAACCGTTTAAAAATGATCGTGTCCGCCATATTATATAGTTTATTTGATAGGTCAATTTAAATTGGTCGATAAATAGTGTAAAATTACTTTGGAAGGTTTTTTTTGAGGACGCAGGGAAACTCTTTTTACGAGCCGTCCAACCGGCTTTGGTGGGATTATTAATTATTAATTTTGATTATGTCAAACGAATATATGAATCTTCTTTAATTCATGTCATAGATAATAATAATTTATAGATTAAGTATTATGTTACTTTAATTTGGCATCACGCCCAAGTCAGTTGGCGCCTTAGAGCGACATTTTAAGGCTATAGTGAGTTATGTAACATTTTTGACTCTAAAACTTTGAATATAATTATTTATTAGTTGTGTAATATATTCATAAACGATTTCATATGAAAGCAATTTGTTTTTGTTACATTATCAGAAAAACTGGTATATTAAAAACTTTTCTGCTTTGGATTCTTACATTTTGGCCAAATGAATTTTATCATTTTTAATTTAGTTAGAAATATGCAATTTATTTATTTAGTAAAAAAACATGAAAGGATTTATGGCCTCGGTCTTTGGATGTTTTTTTTTAAATATTAAATTCGATACCTTTAAAGATTCAGGCATGTACTGCACTAATATATCAGCTATAGCAGGGAGCTCGTCTTCTGTTACCAATCGGAAGTTTTTCCCCTCGGGCACGATTTCCATCTCTGGAACAAAACATTAAAAACGAAACGTTCGAATTTCAAAATAGTTTGATTTTTTTTCTGCACGGAGGTTATATTGGACATGTCAAACATAAATACGATAAGTATAATAGAAAAATCGATTCTGCAAAAGTTTTTCCCTGGGGTACGATTTCCATCTCTGGCACAAAACATAAAAACAAAACGTTCGATTTTTAAAATAGTCTGAAGAGTTTTTTTTCTGTAAGGAGGTTCCATTTGATCTGCCAAACATAAATATGATATGCATAATAGAAAAATCGATACTGCATAAGTTTCTCCCCTCGGGCACGATTTCCATCTCTGGCACAGAACATATGAAACGAAACGTTCGATTTTTAAAATATTCTGAAATTTTTTTTTCTGTAAGGAGGTTACATTTGACATGTCAAGCATAAATATGATATGCATAATAGAAAAATCGATACTGCGGCAAAGTTTCCAAGAATTTATTTCTTATTTAACAATTTGTATTATTCTAGTTGATGCATTTTTAAAATGATAATCTTTTATAATATGACAGAGATAATAACTGAAGTTTTACTTTAAACAATAAGACAATTTTTCATTTAATGTGTACATACTTAAAAAATACTAAAGTGATTAATGCTTAAAGATCTTCATATGATTAAATAAATAAAAAAAAAATTCTTTACGTACATAATTTATAATTTAAATAGTAGTATTCTACGTTTTATTCACTGAAATATATTATATGTGAAATAAATATCGCAAAACAAAAAGCTTACATTGAAAGCACATGCACTAAATGCAGCATTGGGTCAAGGTCGTATCATTTAGCGGCACGGAAGCCTTTACTGAACGATGCAAATACATGCGTCTTTGTGTACAACGAAAATTGATCTTAAACAAAATGGAAAAACGTAGCTCGTAACCCGTGTGCTACAATTATCGTAGCACTCCGTAGCATTTTCGTAGCACACGTTTAGAAATAATCTATGATATATATTTATATATAGTGAATTATAATATTTTTAAATAAATTCATTCATACCTGTTTATGAATGTGATATATATGATATCAAAATTATTAAATTTTATTCACATCAATTAATTTATTAATTAGTATTATTAAAATGTTTATTGTGAAACTCCAATTAATGTATAATATAAAACGTTAATATTTAGTGAGAATCGACTTGTCATTTATTTTGTGTGTGAATCTCAACTAGCCGGCCAACCTCCGCAAAGCCTCTGCAGTGTCCAGCGATCGATCACTAGGCATTCTTTCCAATTCCATTTTTTCCATTTCCATTTATTTCCTTCCATTTTTCTCATGAACACTTAAATCTTGTACAGTTATTTTGTTATTTTTGTTCAACTTGTCACACTTTCAAACTATAACACTATTGAATTAGATTAAAGAGATTAGTTCGACCTAGAGTTATTACTTCGAAATCGAATTTAATTCTCCGTAATTTCTATTATATAAATCTTTTTTATATAACAGAACTATTATCAGTCTATCAGAGCCCACTGCTGAGCTGCCTCTTCTTACATGGAGAAGATTTGAGCATTAATTACCACGCTTGCTCAAGACGGTTTGGCGATTTCAAACTTATAATTGTGAAATTATAAGTCCAGGTTTCCTCACCATATGAAAATATACTCTTACAAAGTACATATGACTGAGAAAAGTCACATTAGTACTTGCCAGGATTCGAACCCGCGCATCATGAATGAGAGGCGGACCTTTTAACCATTACGCCACCAGGACTATTGAACAGAAACAGAAATATTCGACTATATTATGTTATAATATAGAATTCTAGTCAAATATGCTTATCACAAAAGCTTTGGATTTTATACAGAATGCAGTATGCAGAACTATTGTTAACTTAGCCTTTAAAATGCGGAATACGGAATGGAAAGGCATCTATCATACAAAGGTGGATTTATATTGAGCTTGCTGTTGAAAATTTTATTAAAGTTATGCTAAATGTTCGCATTATTTAAGGTATATAAAGAATGGAATAGAACTAAAGAATTATCGTGGTTTTTTGTTTTGTATGTCGAATTAATATTATGTCTAAATAGCGAGGTTAATTTTGATCAATATTTTGATGAAATCATAATTAAAATAATAAAATCATGTTTTTATGTTCTCTATGCGAATATACACATATTACATCAATGAACTTAATCCTGAGATGCCTTTCCTACTAGCTGACCCAAGTTGACGAAAAGAGTTCTAAGGCTGTGTCAAAGTTGAGGGTACAGAAAAATACTTTTTTTATATGTAAATAAGAGAAGCAATAAAATGATTTATGCTTTCAGATATATTGGTAAGAGTTACCTTAGTGATCTGTAATTAAGTGACTCTTTTTGTTCTTCTTTCTGTATAAAATTTATATTCTATTCTCTCTTCGCATTGTTAATTGTAGCTAAAATATAAAAAATAATACAAAAACAACTAAGGTGAATAAAAAATACAATTAAAACTGATGAAAGGACCAAATTTTACATATATGTATTTGACTGTACATTTCAGTCACACATGATGTGAAAACAGAACAGTATTGTAAATAATCTATCAAATTAATGTACTTATTTAATAATTTTTACTATAAATATAATCTTAAAACGGTAAATAATAAATCAGTCCGATCATAACACCGTTATGAATTTTAACAAAGATTACATTTATTATGTTAAATAGCTTTTGATTCGGTTAAAAGATTACAAACGAGCGAACATGTCAATGGTCCCAATGTCGCGTGTTCAGTTAGCGTGAGAACGCGACGGTGTAAGTGAACTCTGAACTTTGGTGATTTAAATTTTGATGAAGAATATGCAATACATGCATACAATTGTAAACAGTATACAGTGGTGGCCTAGTGGTTAAAAGGCCCGTCTCTCATGCACGAGGGCACCGGTTCGATCCTGGCCCGGGCAAGTACCAATGTGATTTTTCCGAGTCATATGTACTTTCTAAGAGTATTTAGACATCCCTGATTAAAGCATTCCCAAAATGGTTGATGTCAGGCAGGCGGCCGGTCGTAAAAACAATTAGCCAAAACTATTTACAACATGTAAGGCAGACCCTGGATAAAGCTGAGAAATTGCCAGGTAGAAGTAGACAGTATAGAATTATAGAAATACACGTACAATTAGAATAAGTTGAGATTGTCATCTTAATACTGCTGTAGGTAAATATTTGTCGTCTACTGACAACGATTTCTTACAATAATGATAATATAATTAACTAGACCAATTGACGGATATCTTTATCTCGTCTGCCCGTGATCACGGTTGCCGAAAATTAACCGAAACGTATGTATGTATGGGTAAGTATGTAGTTTAAAACAATTAAAAAAACGCGTGGTAGATCTGAAAATATGTATAACTTATATTTAATTGAATAAAGTCCATACTGTTATTGAAAGGATTTTTTACAAAAACAAATTAATACTATGTTGTGAGATGCGTTACGAAAGACTGGTAGTTCTACGTATATTTAACAATGCAAACTTGTGGTAGGTGAATTTCATTCTATAGTAAGAAAATATAAGTAAAAATTTAAATTTCTCCTTGAAACCTAACTATTAAAAGTTCCTATACCATCCGCAAGACGGTTCTGAAACTTTAAAAGGCTAATAAAATTTGCATTATATTTCATAGAATTCATCCCACTCTTGCAAATATTTAACAGCCTCTGAACTGAGGCATTTGATATTCTAACTTATAGCTCTTCTCGTTTTACATTGTTTTTTTAATGGCTTGGAATTATTGTATGCAATTTATGAAATATTTTTACTCTCATACTTTTTTACTACTTGGTGTTATCATAATTCTACTTGGAGGAATGTAAAATAAAGGGTAAATCTTTGGAGGTCTATATTTATAGTGCTTATAAAGCCTCATAATTCAAACACCAAGCCTTTAGCTTTAAATATATGTTTAAATATATGTATGAATGTGTCGTTTTACGGTAAATTTGTTTAGGAAATAAACAATACATTCTTATTTTGGGCAAGAGGTATGAATTTTAAGAAGTATTTTTCATTTATTAAATCTATTACAGATCATGAAATTTGTAGAAGTTTTGGAATTTTGTAGTAAAACGAAGTAGTAAATATAACATTTTATTACATTAAATGTGTTACTTTTTACTATAGAGCAATGATGAGTTGATTAATATTAATAAAAAACTGTTAATTTGTGATACTAAATGAGTAGAGTTAGGAATTAAAACTACAAATTGTCTGTATTTATTAAAATATGCTTAACACAAGTTTGCATCGTTACACAACACTATGAGTTTCACGTTTCATTGAAACACATAGTAATTTGTCCATTGTTATCAATGTTAATTGTAAAACACGTAAATGTTCTACAGAACTTCATATGGGTAGGCTTAGTCTAGTTGTGTCTAACCGATCATGTAAATGTATAAAATATGTAATTAAAAGACGATTTTTTATCATAATCATTATAAAATCCTGTACTTTATTTTATTTAAGTGTATTTTTTTATAATTATGTGTACATAAAAGTATAGCATAAATAAGCATATATAACCCGTATACAAAGAAGGAACTTTATATAAAAATAAATAAATTATGTACATTGTTTATTAAATAGTAGAAGTAAATGTAAATTAATAAAACTTAGAAATAGTTTTTCGTATTAGCTAATTCATTTTTAAATTTTCAATACGTAAAATCAAAAAGAATACAGCCGTTAAAAAAATTTAAATCTTATTATCTTATTAAAAAAAGTTTAATTATTAAATAAAGGAACGCTACATGTATCGCTTATTTTGGAAAAACGGTAAAGTGATTTCTATATTCAATACATTTATTAATGTTACTGAAGACTTATGACGTAATAAGTCACAAAGAAATTCTCTTATTGGTATCCTCAAAATTGTTCTATCTTACAAAGGATAGCCGTAAGAAATGTAAGTAAAGTAAGTAAAATAAAATCTATAAAGATTTTAAGAGATCTAAAACAGTCAAAGATATAATTTTATTCAGAAAAATACGCAGTCTGACGCAGCGGTAATAATGTTACGTTAGTCGCAACGGTTCGTAGATTCGATTCCCGATATAAAAATATATTATGATACTTATTTAGATCTAGATAAGGTTCAATGTCGTTGAGATCAGACTATCTTGGTAAAAAGTCCAAGAGTTTCAAGCCGCTTTGTAACAGAGTGCTCTGAATCCGAAGTATGCAAAGGCCAGTTTGATAATACATATATTTACTTTGAAATAATATTCTTATGCAAATTTCATCTCAGTATTATTTTAGAGTATTTAGTAAAGAAACTTTGATTTTATTTGAATTATTATAGATTTAATCCAATATAATAATAAAAAAAATAGAGAAATTTAAAAAGTTGGTACATTAGGGCTATAACATTTCTGATTGCGAATTGTTTTATCATAATTTAAATATATGTATCGTTTTAATTCACAATCTAAAATGAAATTAAAATTATTATAAATATATAATACGTGATTCATATAAAATAATATTATATGTATTTAAAATTTTATTTCATTTCTGATGTCAAGTGAAAAGACGACATTTTTTTATCTTAACACAAGGAGGTCCTCCTGTGCAGGGTTTATATATTTTTTAAACCTTAAATTACCATTGTATTTTTAAGTACAAGGTCGTGTGAATTTCAATAGTATAATACTTATTGTGACAATAAAAGAAGTAAAAAGATTATCCTTTAGCATTGTATATGCGATTTTGTATTTAAGATCAATATTCTCTAATGGATGCCGACGTAGCCTAGTTTTATGGCAGAAAAAATATAACAAGGCAGTCTTTTCTTTCGTTAACTAAAATGGGATTGTTAGTTTTGGAGTTCTTTTATTGTTCAGGTTTTAAAGTGAGACGTGCCAGTATAAAAGATTCAAGTCTTTGTGATAGTCACGAAGGGTGAATGTGACTGGGTTAAACATTAAAAAGACTTGTAATTATGTTTACAAATTATTATGTTTTAGACTTATTTTTTTTTTAACTTATAAATCCTTTTTTGATTAATAATAATTTTAAATGACATTTCTTTACATTCGTTTGTTGGGAAGCTTTTTCGTTAGAATTATATTTTTTATTTATTCATCGTTTTATTATTAATATGTATATATGAATATTGCAGTTATGTATTGTCTATTTTATCCAGATAATAATGAAATATATGTAGTTGTTATTCTAATATAACCATTGTTTTAAATGTTACCATATAAAAAGAAACTTATTGAGGTGTTATAGAACCTGCGTTTGAAAAGGAGTTTGCATAAAACTCTTTACCGATTAATTATTAAAAAATATTTGATTCTTTTTCGTAAAATTACATTGAAACTGTCGGTATTTTGGTTGTTAATACTAATGGTTAACATCTTAAGCTACGTTAGACCTGAGACCGTAAGACGCATTAATAATCTTAGGGTGTAAAGCGAATTCGAGGTATGAAAAGCGGCTCATTACTGTTAATTGAAATGGAATTCAACGAAATGGCGTGTTTGTTACTAAATGATTTTTGAAAAACTATTTATATATAACATATAAAATCTCCTTTGTGTAGAGAATGGAAGAAAACTTTATGCAAGATATATAAAATGTCATAACTATTGGCGAAATTTTACGTAGCTCAATGAAAGAAGGTCGAACTTCAGTGCTGTCAATGACAACACATTGCTGTGAACCACTACCCTTGCCGTAATGCGGCAGCCCCTGCATGGCGAATATGATATAGGGGAAGTTCCTAGCCAGATCGTTAACAAATGTGGCATTGCGGTGCAAAATGGATATCAAAGGAGGGCGGCCACGTTATTTTCTGATTAAATATTACCTTTAGTCCGCGGAGCCTCGTGTGTTAACGGCTCTGCCGGTGTTGTTTCGTTGTAGGAGAAGGTCGGGAAGCGCCTGGTAGGGCTCCTGGCCGCGAGGGGCCGGCGTTTCTTCCTGGATCCTTGAGCACGTGTACTTCGCGATCGGTTTGCCGGCGTAGTGATCACTGATCTACCAAATCTCACCCACTGCGCGCGCTGACTCCGCGCATGCGCACCCCTGTGCAGTTGCCGCAAGCGATTAAATTAATCTACACATTATACACGCACCACGGCCTTTTATATCTTGATTTCGTACACGTCAAACTATTTTCTTTCTTCGTATATCATTGAATATTGAGTTGGTAGGTTCTCTATCAGTTATATAGTGTGGTTTACGTAAATATCACCGGGTTCATTTACAAATTAAGTTCTAACGTTAATAGTCTATTAAGCTAGTATCGAGTTAATATTGATTACCACTTTCACCGTTGGCGTTGTGTTACATACTTTGTTTTGGCGACATTCCAGAAATGGCGTCTGATAAGCCTTTTTACTTGATTGTTTCAAAAAATATAAGTGGTTTTTATAATCCGAAACGCCCATAGAATTGGACGTAATTTTTTTTAACGATTTTCTTACCTCGATATGACCTACAATCGACATCAAGGAATGGTTATAATCTCTACAATTACTAGTTTATTTAGTCGTAAATCGTAATTCAGTTAAACGGATCAAGTTTTAATGAATAAGATATAGGTACGAAACTATAAATCCTCTTAAAATTAGGTCCAGAGAAACCATAATATCTACACCTGACTCTCGTTGTAATAATTTCGAATTATTGAAATCAACAGCTCTTGTGATATAATACAACGTCAACATTAATACTTCAATTTATTTTAATATAATAACTTCCTTTTTAACACGCTGTTATTAAACTCGTGTATGTATGTGTCTTTGTATGTATGCACTTAAATACATATACTTGTATGTACGTATGTATATATAGTATATTCTTCGAGCAAATTTTTGACCCAGTTCTAAATATCACACTGAATTAAAACTTCGCGAAGTTTTTACTCACGATAATGATACATTTAATTAGTTCAGGATCCTAGGAATTCAGATTTTTCTAAATTTGATACTAGTCAGAATATTTAACCGAAGAATAAAAAAGTTTTGAAATATGCAGAAATGACCAAATAACTGGTTTATTTTAAGCTTCAAATTTTATTAATACAGATTTTTTTACAAGTGTGTTTTTATATAATGTATATATTATTTAGAACATAAAAATAGATATTTGGGTGATACAATTTTGGTTTGGTGTATGCGACGTTTAAAATACAGAGCAATTAATTTTAAATTATATTTATTTAATACTTTTTGTACACCACAATTACAATTACAAAAAAAAATAGATTAAAATATTTATTTTGCAACCAAAAAGGTTTTTATTATTAAAATCTGATTATGATTTAATCTGTCCTACCAAGAGCTAGGTATCGCCTGTATTATTAAATGGGGAACTTTTCTTTATGCGACATATCGTATGTCGTAGGTATTGATTGTAACTATAGACTTATGAATTATGATTACTATCGGAAGCTTTATGAATAGCGTTCAACGATTATCATATTATCATACAAAACCGACTCTTTCGCACCAAAAAATTATATACTTATAATTTTCTGTCTATACGCTAGGAAATATATAAAAAATAATGTTTTAAAACCAAACAATTTTACACAATGTTAACGAGAAATGATAAAATAAAGATTATTTTCTTTGGGTCACACACTTCGGCTCGTCTGCTCGTGATCACGGTTGCTGCAAAGGAACCGAAACGTCAGTGTTATGTACAACTAGCTTTCCGCCCGCAGCTTCGCCCGAGTTCGGTTATATCGCGTTTCCAAGAGAACCTTTCAAAAGTCTGGGATAAAAACTATTCTATGTTCTTTTTCAAGGTCAATTCTATCTCTGTACCAAATTCCATTAAAATCAGTTCAGTGGTTTAGGCGTGAAAGCGTAACAAACAGACAGACAGAATTACTTTCGCATTTATAATATTAGTAGGGATAAAAACACGTTATATCGGAAAACCTTAATTTCATATAATACGCGAAAATTTGAATTACTATAAATATTACACTGATAGCAAAAAAAGTTTATAGAAACTGCTGTGTCAATAAATGCTTTTTATAAATATAAATGTACGCTGTAAAATAATATTTTATAAAGAAACGTTTAATAGTAGAATAAATGACGAGTTAAATAAAAAAAAAGAGAAAGGAATAAAAAAAAGAGAGAGAGAGGAGAGTTTTTCTTGCTCATGAAACTCAAAATAGTCACCTCGCAGAGAATTCATAACTTTCTTAATAAGCCAGTCCTTTTCTAATGCTAGGTGAAATAAAATAAAACAGCTTAAAGCACTTTTATCAATGAATAATTTATAATCTTCTTAAAACTACATAATGTAAACTCATCATTATATTTCGGAAAATATATAACGGCTAATAAAAAGGTAGTTGAATACATTAACATTAACCATATTTGCATTTAAAAAAAAATCAAATAAATTTAAATTTCGGTATTCCATTTAAAATTATTAAAAAAGACCTGCAGAAGTTTCTTTTATATATATTAAAATATATATTTATGAGAAAAGTTGCTATTACGGTCTACTTCATGTATGTATTTTAAGGTATCATAATAATTAATATCATAGGTGAAGAAAACCTTTGTTCTAAAAATAAGACGAATTAAGGCTTAAACTCCAAATATTTAAACACAGAAGAAACTTCTTAGCATCCAATGTATTCACCGTGCGGGTGCGGGGTCCATCGTTACAGGGAGAGGAGCTACAACAGTGACGGGGACTTGCGACCCAGGTGTAGGTTTAAAGGGCCCCTATCTAACGCGCGTCAAACGCTTACCTCCACCTTGTATTATTATAAAAAAAATGAGTGAAAACATAAACCTATCTATATTCAGCTTTATGCAAACTCGAGGTAAGGATACAGTATTTTCCTGGTGTGCCCTGTCGCTGACAGATCCGGGGTACACCGACATAGCGGCCGATGGCTTTCGCAGTGGTTTTAGTGAGTAGGGGCCTGCCCAGGACGAGCCTCACACATCCCTTCCGGGCCCATCAAGGCCGGTTGGACGGCTCTTAAAAAGAGTTTCCCTGCGTCATCAAAAAAAAAAAAAGGATACAGTATTTATTGAGAAAATCTTACAGTTAATTTTGAAATATGTACGTAATAATTTATTCCTAAATTTTGTACATTAGTTGAATGTATTTAAGATAAATATACATAACATTATATATATTTCGTTTAAATTAAATAACTACATTTTATCTAAAAATAAACTAGATTCATTTAATTTATAAAATGAATCAAATATTAGTTTTTGTTTTAAACGTCTTATGTTACGAAATAAGCATGTAGCTACATTTGCTTAACTTAAATGAGGTATTAAAACTTCTTGATTTGTACTCGATCTCCAAGTAATTAGGAAGTTGAAAGTTTATACTTTATACATATTTGACTCCACTTTTATTTTATCCTTATAATTTTGCTCAATATTTTTTCTCAGTATAAATTAAAAGTTTTATAAGTTATACTAATTGGTTATTTATGTAATTTTGCTTTAACAGTAGGTTTTCAGGAATTGTAAATTGTGACAAGCTAGTATCTGTGTACTCTCTATGTATTATAGACATATAGAGAATTACAATTACAGAAAACATTTATTGAAATTATAGACCATAAAAGTCAGTGGTGGCCTAGTGGTTAAAAGGCCCGCCTCTCATGTATGAGGGCGCGGGTTCGATTCTGGCAAGTACCAATGTGATTTTTCCGAGTCATATATACTTTCTAAGAGTATTTAAACATCACTGATCAGTGCATTCCTAAAGAGGGTTGATGTCAGGCAGGCGGCCGGTCGTAAAAACAATTAGCCAAAACTATTTACAACATGTAAGACAGACCCTGGCTAAAACTGGGAATTTGCCATGTAGAAGAAGAAGAAATTATAGACCACATCACATTATATCATCATATTTAAGTACTATATGCGTGGTCGTATGCAGAACGTGCGGTCAATCCATTAAATGCTAAGAAGTTTTGTCTCTAATTAGTAATTACAACACTTTAAACATAATTAATAACGCTATAAATAGTTTGTAAAATAAAAGTAGAAATCGTTCTTATAATGACATAAAAATATATGTTGGTAAAAGTTTTTTCCGTTGGATATTTTGGTGTGTAAGTCGGCATTCACGAGGAGAAGCATGGTTGCCGGTAGCTCCATACAGCCATCCCGGTCATTAGGCCTGGCTGAGGGGGGGGGAGGGGGTTATAAAGAAATGCATTCGGCCCAACATTAAAATCAGAATAGGTCCTATAAACTGTATATCATCCAGAAAATACTAGTAACAATAAGTTATTGAAAAACTTAAACAAAAAATAGTAAAATAACAATACACCAATTCTTCTAAGCTGAACTAGAATACTATAAAGCGTTTATTACATTTCCATTATCTTTTAATATGTTTAATTTATTTGGTTGTAGTGTTGTGACGTGGGTAGTAATTTTTTCATAAATAAAAAATAATATAAAGCGAACTAAAATAGCCTTATACGTATGCAAATAAAGTAGTACAAAGTTGGCTTTTTAAAATTTATACGTTGTTCAAACTCGAACTTATCAATTTGCGGGTTTGAATTTTCAACTTAAGAGATATTCAAAGTTAATAAATTAATATTAAAATAGTTTAAAGAACGTATCATTGGAGTTAGTCATGTATGACATGTAGGCAATGTAGACTAGTATTAAATGATTATTGCCCAGAAGCAATATTATAAATTAAAGTGTTGGAGTCAATTTTAGACACAAGAATTTATAAACGAACAATAAGTATATTCATATAATACATATAATTTTACAATTATGTTTCATTTATTTTCATAACTATGTCTCAGAGTTTGTGGTTAAAGAACTTTATTTATCTCTCATAAAGAACAATGTTCACTTGAATGAGATGTAAAACACAATTCAATTCAAACAACAATTCAGTACAGTAGCAACGAACCATAGAACTCAAGAGCGGTTAATCCAAGTGCTCCCTACAACAATCCAATAGTTTCCTCCTAAAAATCACAAACGTTTTTTCATCAAACACTTCGTCAGGCAAGCCATTATATAGTTTCGCTCCCTCAAACTGTATACTTTTTATTCCATATTTGGTCCTGGTCTTGGGTAATTCAAGTTTGTGTTTATGTCTCGTGTTATGTTTGTATGTTTTAGTTTTAAATGTTATTTTTGTGTGTATTGATTTCGTAAGAATTTTTCTAATTAATATGCATGTTTTATATTTGTATAACTGGTTAATTGATAATATATTTGTACGTTTATATAATTCCTCAGTTGACATGTGATAATCTAAATGGAACAAAGTTTTTATTAATTTATTTTGCGAAATTTGAAGATCCTTTATATTAGTTTTAGATGCACTTCCCCAAATCTCAACAAGATATTCCAATAAAGGTTTGATAAGTGAGTTATATATTATATGTAATACGAATCTTGTGTGGTATACAACGTGATGATCTACGTATAGCTCCAGTAAGTGAGGTTATTTTTCTTTGTATATAATCTAAATGTGCTCGCCATGTTAGTTTCGGGTCTAGGATCAGGCCTAGATATTTTTCTTGATTTGATTGTTGGATAGTCAGGTTATTTATCGTTAATGGAGTGAAATTTGGAATTTTCTTATTTTTTGCATGAAAAAGCATGAAAGAGGTTTTTTCAATATTTATAGTGAGTAAATTATATTGAAACCATTCGTGTAGTTTATCTAAATCGTTCTGTGCTTTTACTAATAGACGTTCTATAGAATCCTCAAAGTAAAACAAACAAGTGTCGTCTGCATACAGCGATACTTCCCCAAATAAACCTAGGTTACTAATATCATTTATATATATTAAAAATAGCAAAGGCCCTGAGTTTCGTTATTACAAATTGAAATACATGTTTTAGGGTTAACTTCGCGATATTATTATTTTATATTTTACCAATGTTTCGATTACTCTTCAATACTGCTGACCACGTCATAACGAGCCGTTTTCATCTCAATAATAAACGAAGTGAGAAAATGTCATTAATACGTAGATTTATTTGTTGACCCTGAATTATTTTGAGGATGCGACAGTGCTTTTAATATTTATATAAGAAAAACTGTATTACTTTGTATGCAATTAAATATTCATGTTAACTTAATTGTGATATCTAGCACTCAAAAGAAAACATTAGTCCTGTTGTACATATAACTAATATGTCAATCATTCTGTCGCACTTCAAAACACGGAGATTTATGGCTTTAATAGGTAAATTCCAAAAATATAATTAAAAAAACGTAACAGATATTTCTTGATTATAGGGCGATACGAAGTTCGCCGGGTCTTCTACATAGTATAGAGTAAAGGAGTAGATAAATAGTATCAGGTATTTGTCGGACATAAAAATATCTTAAATAAATCATAAAAATAACACAAATTAAAATAGTTAATAAGAAACGGCTTAAATAAAATAAATATAAATATTTTACACAAGATCTTAAACTGAATAATATAAAGAATAATATATAATACAGAGTTGTTTTGTCACAGGTGTTTTTTGGGGGAAACGTTGAGTCGGATCAGGTTCGGACCCCTTGTCTGTTAATGCTTACTTATCCCTGAGTATCTCTGTAATATCTAAACAATTCATCCTCCCTATCAAACATTTTGCAAACTAATTACACTAACTACTATGTTAAAAAGGGGGATATATTTTGCATTTTTCGATGGAATATCCTTTGATGACAAGTACTTACAAGAGAGCAGAATTTCTCTGCCTTTAAAATATAAATATTTTATAATTTTGGATATGAGTTTCATATAACGGAAACAAAACCTTTCTAATTTTAGTCCCTCGAAAACATGTTTTACCTTTTAAGACGCTATTTGTGCTTATTATAATAATCCACCTGATTCCTATTCAGATAAAGAGGTATATTGATACCTTTTTGGATTAACGTCCTTCTTAAAATTAACCTTGGCTTTTGTTCTGGTTTTTATAAATTCCCAAACTGATTATTAACCAAATTCTACTTCCTTCTGTCTATACAATAATGCGATCTTGTGATACTTCTCCTCTGGTAAAACGTTATTTTACATTTCATTTTGACACTTTCATGATCTACATAGCTGAAGAATATTTTAAAATTTAAAAAAATATGAGTTTTTTTAAATTGTACATTCATACAAAAACTTTACTCTATTTTTTCTCGGAGTTCCTTAAAACTGTTAATAATTTCTCTTTCGATTAATATCAAAATTGTTATTAAATTTATTTCTCAATAACTTATTTATTTCTAGGAATTAGCATGTGATATAAAATCAGTATAACCGATTATGTACTGAAAAACAAAAATGTAAACTTGAGATCCTTCAATACAAAACCTACATATTTTTATACTTTACAAAAACCATGCTACTAAATTTTGGCAGAATTTCAAGTGACCTCATCCTTTGCTATACCGGGATTGGTTCAAATAAATCTGTAAAGGAAGTACATACATACCTAAAAGTAACTACATAATTGTAAAATGAGATATTTCTAACTAACTTATTTCCATTATTACCAATTTTTTAAGCCAAGTATGAATTTGTTATTGTTTATATTATTTTAACAAATTCTCCATATCAAAATATTATTTTTATTTCTTTTTTATCCCTGTGACACTATGGTTTGTTATAATTATTAATAATTAAACCATGTTTTATATATCTAAACCAACCAACTTTCCGTGTTTCAAATTCTATTTAATAAATTAATATATTTTATAAATAAAACAATTATAATAGCTAAAACATTTTTCGTTGTCATAACTTGTAAACATCCTGTTAAAACTATAACCAATATAAAATGTTTTAATGGAGTATTCTAATGTAATTCTGTTATAAAAAGCACTATATGGCCACTGATGTAATAAATAAGTTCATGCGAAGTCTGCAACATGCCGCATAGTGTCAAGGTTAGCGGATAGCTGCAATCCTGCCACGAGTATGTATAGTACGAGTATCTGATGAAACAATGGAGTAGCTATTGACTTGATAAGCTTACACTTCAAATATAATACGATCACTTCCTAAATAAAAAGATATTAAGTGAAGTGAGGTAAAATATTTGATGAGTTTTTATGAGATTATAAAATCATATGAGAGTTGTTTTAATTGGCATGTGTTAGTATAAATTTAAAGTAGGTCTTGTTTACAAATATTTTTGAAAACAATCATTGTTATATGAATATTACGAGAGTCATTAAGGAATCAGGGCCGGCGCTAACTATATCAATGCCCCGAGCGAGTTGTCGGGTTTAAAAGTTATGAAATAAAAGGTTCTTGAACAAAAAATTATTTTTAATTCCTCTCGTATTGCCATTCAAATCAAAATCTATAGCTTGTTTTATTTAAATGAAAACTCTTTTATTTTTTGGTACTTGCAAAATTTATTACAAAATATTCATTAATTAATTGTTGATTAATTTTGTAAATAAATATACAGAGATTAAAATATTGCTTAGTACGTTTCCCTCGCTCCCCATTAATGAAAGGTTTAACAAATTCCTAAATTGCATGTTTAATGAGAAAACTCATTCCAAGATAATTCTTTAATGGAAGTGAATAAAAGTCATAGTTATTTGTTTTATTTGATATAAGTATATAAGGACATCTTGTTTTATGTTTGAGGAAAATATACCTTGCAACATATTAAAAACATATTTATATGGGAACAATATTACTTTAAGAAAAACATCTTGATTTTCTCTGATTTGTTTTTTATATTTTAGCAAATGGTAAATAATACACAGTTTAAACATAGTACGGATTACTGTTGTATATACTGTTCATGTTGTTATTGATGAAAACAATTTATACAATATATAACTAATTAATACACCATATAAGAAATTTATAACTACAAGAAACGTTTTAGTCAAGTTTTAGTCTATGACTTATATCATAATATGAAGGTCGTTATAAAGCTATTATAAAAAATTTATACGTTTCTTGTAGCAAACCTTGGTTTTATATTCTGTGTTAAAAATGTCAACAGTCAAAATCAGAAATGACAGTACCTACTACTTAAGGTTGTCAAATTTTGAAGATCATACAGAACTTGTTTGTATCGAAAAAATCGTTTAGCTGGAAACGATTCCAGTTTATTTAAACTTAATATACGAAACAAAAAAGATTAAGGTAAAATTATTTCGCGTAAAATATTTCAAATGTTTCTACATATTGTTAAGAGTGAGGTTCATAGTTTAATGCATTATTTTCAGGCTTTAACAGAAAGAATGTCGAGGTTTAGACTGCGACGGCAATATGATGGGTATGTTTCTGTGCCTCACGATGATAGTGGATTTTCGGACGCTCAGTTTGAGGTGCCGCCTTTGAAGATACCTTGGAAAGCTCTAAGCTTGGCTGCATTTCTATTTGTCGTGGGAACATCATTATTGATTGTTGGAAGTCTTATTGTCGCCGGTCAGATCGATACAAAGTATTCGGACCGTCTTTGGCCTATGATTGTTTTGGGCTGTATCATGTTTCTTCCTGGGGCATATCATATGAGGATAGCTTATTATGCTTACAAAGAATACCCAGGATATAGTTTTGGAGACATTCCTGAGTTTGAATAGTCTTTATTGTTACAAATAATGTAGATTATTTATTTTTACATTAATGCTGTACATAATTGTAGCAAGGATGTATGTCAAATGTATTGTTTTCAATTAAGTTATAGTTTAGTGTAACAGTCTTATTTGAAGCCAGTTAAATTAATACTATGAAATTATGACAAATGTACTCATCTTTGTAAGTGATCTTAGTCCTCTTGTATATTATAATTAGTAGTGGTTTAGTTATAATTATATAGTCTTCTTATTAAATTGTATTTCATTTGTAAATTTGTTATAATTGTATAAATATACATTATATATTTTATAAACATAAATGATCTGTTCTATTGTAAGTTATGTTTAAAATAAAACATACAAAGAATCTTCATTTATTAATTTATTCTCTAGTATATTAAATGTATAGTGTTATTCTTTGCACTACAGGTTTGTTAATCCCTACTAATATTATAAATGCGAAAGTAACTGTGTCTGTCTGTTACACTTTCACGCCTAAACCACTGAACTGATTTTATTGAAATTTGGTACAGATATAGAGTTGACCTTGAGAAAAAAACAGGATAGTTTTTATCCCAGACTTTTGAAGCTGCGAGCAGAGAGCTAGTATGAAATAAAACACATTATTGTTTAATGAGTGATCATAATTTAATAGATTGATAAGAGTCACTTTACATATTGTAAGGATTGAAGAAAATCATTTGATTCTCAATGAATAATAATACTTTCCTATCTAAATTGCACATTTACCTACCTTTCTTACCCTTTTTTTGAGTGTAACTAGTTTGGGGTAATGCGACCGAGTGGCCAGTTTTCTTCAAATGTTCGAATAATTTATTTTTCGATGGGAAATCTGTCTGACAAATCAGACATCTGAGGTTAACGGCGCTGCTAGAATCTTCTGTCTCACTAGCTTTCGGTCTCAACGGCTTCCGTTCAAATAATTTTTTACCTTTTATATTCCTTTGAGTTTTTGGTAATGCCGGTCTATCTCTTGGTAAGGCTGAATCTGCCAATGCGTCATCGGTGGGTGTAGTACTTGACACTTCATATAAGTTCTCAGTTGAAGTCTGGGATTGAGAACCTTTTTTGAGATTAGCCTCCTTTTTAGCCTGTATCTGACTTTTCAGCATATTAAATTTCTTAGCCTTTCGGCTCCTCACTGGTCCTTCGATCTCATTAAAGCTCATTTCATCATGACTATCATTGCCTTCGCTTTCTGGCATCGGTATGAATGACTTCTTCTTGTTTTTCTTTTTCTTCTGACTTTTAGGTAATGCCTAATAAACAACATAAATAATAAATAAAATAGACATAGAAGAAAACTATCATACATTATACAATTTTATTTATTGTAATACCTGTATTTTATCCGAATCATCGCTAAGCGTCTCCCGAATATCATTATCTTCAGTATCTGATGTAGAGTTTGCTACATTCAGACCTTCATCGGCATCCCCGTTGATTTTAGTTACCTCAGTTTCACCTTCAACGTCATTACCTTCTTCGGATATAGCAATATCATCTTCTAATGTCATACTTGCAACATTTTCCTTATGTTTCCGACTATTCTCGTGATTTTCAAACGAATTAACATTTTTAAATATCTTATTACATGCTGAGCAATATAAGTTTTTGAGTAGCTTTTTATAGCTTTCGACAATCTGAAATTTTATGAAACAATTTGTTGAAGTTTTAATGTGAAATGCTTATTCTTAAAAAGACTAACTTTTTATATTAAAACTATCCTTGCAACCTATTAATGATACATAATTCAATTTAAATAATGGCTTAATTATTATAATTAACAGGACTATGGGAGTATTTCATATCAAATGAATGGTTGAAATTCAGCTCATATATAAATTATTTCCTTAGAAAAATCAGCCAATATATAAGACTTACCTCCTCAGTCTTGGAACTTTCTTCATTACTACTTTCCATACCCCCTTCGCTAATAGTATCATCGTCGGATGATAAACCAAATTCCTCAGCCAACAAAGATTCAATTTCGCTCAATTTCTTTTGATAGTCTTCGCTTTGTAAGAAAGAAGATTCCCCTTCTTTCTTCTTAGCTTCTTCTATTTCTTTCTGTCTTTCAATTATTCTTTTCCGTCTGAGTTGTTCTGCCTTTAATAGAAAAGTCAATGTAGTAAAGTTATCTACTGAATATTAATCTAGTTATAAGTCTAGTTAAACTACAATTTGGTATAGTAAACTCTTTATAATAATTTCCTGTTTTTTAAGTTAAAGATATTTGGTCTTAGACTGGCAAGTAATTGGAAATGATTTCTTTTTTCTTATACTAATTCTGATTGTTGAATAACTATACATATATATTAGTATTACTATTTCATTTGAAGGAGCACAGCTGTATAACTCTTTGCCTCTAAGTGTTGTAAATTCAAAATCTCTAAATATATTTAAAAAACAATTAACAACCCATATATTAGATCTGATAGATGATGTCACTGATCTTGTTTAATATCACTACTATTTATTAGTTGTAATATCTTAATTGTACATAGTTATACTTTTAAAATTTCTTTTGTAAGTGAACTTTGTTAGTTTTGGAAATAAACTTCTTTAAATCTAAACCTAATATAATATTAAGTTCTACTACCTTCTTTTTATTTTCCTCAGCTTTTTCTTGAAGCTGTTTGTTATGTTCAATAACTCGTTTATCCTTGCGACGTACAAAACTAACGAGTCGTCTAATTTCTTCATTCCTTTCCTTGCGGGCTTTCTGCCGTATCTTATTATTCTCTTTTTCCATCAGTTTGATAACTCTGCGGTTATCACCTTGGGATATTTCATATTGATCTAACCACACATAACCTGAAATAGGAAACAAATATTTAAAAAAATAAGAAATATTATACAGTTTATTTGTAAAACTGTATAATACATATATAAAGAAGAACTAACTCTTATTAGTGGAGAAAGACATCCAAAACGCATAGAATTCATTTACATCTTCATAGGGTGATGTGGATACACCAAATTTTGGAATCTTAGAGACTTCTTCGGGATCCTCCAAAAAGTCTGCCTCTTCAGAGGCCAATTTAGAGAAAACCTATAATAAAAAATAGATATTAAAAATAAAAAATAATTAGGTGCTGGCACAAAGACAGTTATTTACGTACCTCTGCATAAACACCATAAAATCCTTGAGGATCATCACCAAAACCTTTGTAGCAGGACGGACTAAAGTAAGGGTAAACATCAAGACTATCATCATTATAGGAACTGCCTGCGCCACGTAAAAGTTGTTCGCGGTGATTGTCATACCTAAAAAATATATAATACATATAAGAGTCGGAACTAGGAAGGGAATTGAAAATTTTGTATGACATTTATTAAGAGAACTCTTATGGAAAGGAATTGATAATTACCAGGCTCTTTCTTGAGGGTCGGAGAGCACTTCGTAAGCATTCTGTACAAGTTGAAACTGTTCTTTAGCTTCTTGAAGATTGTCTAGGTTTTTGTCAGGGTGCCACTGCAGGGCGAGTTTGCGATAGGCCTTTTTGATTTCAGATCCGCTCGCCTCCTTCGTCACGCTCAATACTTCGTAGTGACACTTCATTGTGTTTTCATTATTATTCTACCACTGAATATGCATAGCACTATACTTAAAAAGTATTATAACCTGCCCAGCGGCTTTTCACTTAATTAATAAGAGATCAATTTAAAGCAAATATTTGACACAACAAAGGAATAGGAACCTAATTTTATTACTTAAATTAGTGTTTTTCTAAATTTATCTTACGTTAATAATATTGTGAAAATAATAATGATCGATGGCCATTTAGACGACGTCCATGCTCGTTTTTTTTTTCGTTCACAACACAACGAGTGTTAACTACTCTTTGAAAAAGTCAATTTATTAATATTTATTATTTAACTTGTTTTTTTTAAATATGATTTTCTTAATTTATTTGAGTAAATGTATTTTTGCAATATTAAAGAGAGAAAAATCTACATTTTAACATTGCTCTTACAGTTTCAAAGATGTTATAATCTGTCTAAATATTTATTGTGTTTAGTGATTACTACTTTTAACATATTATAGGAGATTGATAAAATAATATAAAGATTTTAAATAAAATTATATATGGCAATGATTACAAACGTCATATTGATGTTTCCAGCAAGCGTTTGAATATGCACAGAAATGGTCTTGGATAATGGATTTTTAAAGACGCATATTTATTTTTTAATTAATAGGATCTACAAACGATTTCTTCCTTTTAACGTCATTGCAAAAATTGTTACCTAAAGAGAGGATACATTCTATTCGATATTTTACTAAAAGTAATAACAATCTTTCTTAAAAGAAACAATATTTAAGTTTTTGACAATTATAACATTTTGGAAATACAGTAATGTGTTAATAGATAGAAAATTTATATTACCTGATGAGCATGTAGATACCTGGTTAATAGATCTTTAAATTTTATTGTATCTGATTTTTTGCCTTGGAACCTTTTTAGCGACGTATAATTTGTTACTTAAAACTACTAATTTTTACTTTACTTGGAAAATAGTAAACCATGCCCTTACTCATCTCTTAGAAATTGTGAAATGTTCGTTTGTTAATGTATTAACTAGACACCAGAGTAAATGCATTTGCATAATTTTTTTTAATAATACTCATTTTTCTTTGATATGTTTAAATGATCGATATAACAAGTGAATGTTTTCTTTTTCTCAGATTTATTATTTAAATGCATTGTGTAAAAAATGTTAAAGATTATAGATACTTTTGAGAAGTGTTCGAATTTTATTAGATAGAACTATTGATTGATTTTCAAAGATATTACGTTATCAACTGAAGCAACTTGGATTAATGACATAACACTAAAAGATCACTATTATATATATTATTTATTCAACTTCCTTTTTATGCTAATTTTCATTTTCGTTTTGAAATAAAGTTATGAATGTTTCTGCCGTTAACCAATCAGTAGTTCTGATTTTTGCGATAGCAACTGTTTTATTATTTGTCTAATAATTCATTTATTAAATTAAAATTTAACAAAATGTATTAAAGCTTCATCTTTTTTTATATGATAAAAATCCTTCGTATTACAAGGTAGCTTTTATTTATTTTTGTATTTTTATATAAAATTACTTATACTAAAATAGATCGAATTTGTACTGATCGTGAGTTTCAGAGTAAGCGACAGCTTTCACGGACTGAATAAAACATTGCATAAGGATTAAAATATAAAACAATAAAAAAAATACAATTGTATATATTTTTTTTGTTATATTTACCAAGATTTTGTTCATAAATTTAATTATACAACGCCATGTAAATAATTAAAAAAATAACCTAATTTTATTATTTAACATGTGATACAGATAAAAAAGATCAAGTAGTTTCGTTAATATCGAATTTGATGTAAGGCCGTTGGTTCCATCTAAACGATGACATTCTGCTCCGCCAACGAATGCTGTAGCCGTCTTCATCGAGCTGCAGGAAAAAAAAAAACAAAATAAAAATCCAGTACTAATGGAACATTCGAGATAAATATCAAAGAGTTATCGTAAAATAAAATGATTAATAATCTTTATACATATAATATCATAAGCTATTACGTCAGATTATGTAAACCGCTGCAATGAAAGTAAAACAGTAACATATTAAATACTTTATTTTAAACCTATAAAAATGACATTTGAATTTTAGAACACAGATAACAAAAAGTAGTGTTAAAATTATTTAAAATTAAAAATATAGCATATATGTAAATCTTTGTACAGTGACCACAATCTAAGAGAAATTAAACTAAAACAAACTAAAAAACACTTAATAGTTTTATACTTAAATAACTTAAAAATATCTCCATACGTCATTTGATTAGTGAAAATTATAAATTATAAATATTTTATTAATTCAATCTCGGAGTCACTGCTGCTAGCTGATGACTCGTGTATGTTTTTAAACGCCACTTCCTACATAGATAATAAAATCACAAAATTAACATGATACTATGTTTTACAGATTATACTAATCGGTTTTATTAAATAATCCTACTAATATTATGATTGCCAAAGTTTGTATGTGTGTATGTTTGTTACTTCTTCACGCTCAAACGGCTGAACCGATTTTGATAAAATTTTGTATACAGGAAGCTGACGTCCAGGAATAACACATAGGCTACTTTACATCCCGGAAATCTCGGAAATCCGCGGGTAACACCGCGGGGTGCAGCTATTATTAAATAAAGCCGAGTAGTATATTTGAGAAACATAATTGAAATCCAAATATGTACTTGCTAAAAGTCAGAAATAAAAAAAAATCATGTATATAATGTTGGTAGAATAATTATCAGTTTTTAATGTTGGTAGCACTGTACTCACCGTTTCGCGGTCAGAGTCCAAAGTGGATGGCCTTGTTGATAACGAAGCTCCTCTTGATTCCGATGCTGGTGATGGCAGCACTGGTAGACTAGGTTTCGGTTCCAGCCATTCCTCGTAAAGATCCTTCCTAGGACCCAAAGGCAATTCGGGATTGGTGCGACAATTCTCGATTATCCATTTCTGTTCCCGTTCCGAAGGCGATCTAGGAAGAATACATTAAATTAGTTTTTATTATCTTTATTATAACATACTGTGACATATCTAAATATTAATTTTATTATAGTTTTTTGTCAGTATAAAACTTAGTACCAAACTATTAAAAAAAAGCATTTAATTCAAAGTTATTTAGGTTCATACTTAACACAAAGGCTAAAACGAAAATAGGAATTTGTGTGACTAACATGTATGTTCCAAAATCAAACCAATTTTCTAGCGTACTTAATTGTATGTAATTTTTCGCGTATCTATTCGACCGCTTTGTTAACAGAAAATTCTAAAGATTTTATTTATTTGACTTCGCTTATCTTAAATATTATGGAAAATAAGCGTAAAGCGGCCATCTTTATAAGAGAGTATAATCTAGAAAGCTGAGTCGAAAGAAATTACGTTACCGGTAAAGCCGCGGGGTACACTATTTCAGATTTATTTTAACAAAGAACTACAAATAAGATTTAATTTATATATAGACAAACGTTACACTGGTGAATGAATATTCTTTTTATTATAAACGTGAGTTAAGAAGATATTACTAGATTTAAGATAGAGCAGCTTTCTTTGATCTATTGCAGATTCTGAATTAGATAACTTCAAGAGAATTAAGAAAAGATTACAGATATACATATAACGATTGGCTTCTCATTTTTTTTATTTTAATATCTTATGGCTTATTACGTATTAATTAAATAAAATACATAAAAGAAGTACTTAGAATTAAAACAGTTTTGAAGTTCTTTTATTGCAATGCATTATAAAATGTACTGGTTGAATATTTAAATACTCATAGCAAACATGAGCGTATCTCAAATTTTCGGTAGATACTTATCAAATTTATTTCACAACATTTAAAATAATGTATAAGTAAGAAAATAGAAGGTGCGTATTTATACGAGGCTGTTCTTGGTCTCAATAAATTCTCACGGTTTCATTTTTATTTAGTGAAATTTTAAAAATTCTTTTACGTACATTTGTCAAACTGATCTATTCGTTATGATATTTCTAGATGAGTAGTGGTAATAATAATTAATCAGGGCTCAGAAAATAAAAGTTTAAAAGTACATATATTTTTATCACTAATTGAGATTGATAGATTTTTTGTTCAACGATAATTATTGTTAATGTATATACATATGTAGTCTCCCAAACTTAAAGATTTACAGCAAAAAAAATATTAATCTTTTTAGTTTACATTTAACTCTAACTATAATAGGACCCAATAAAATCACCAATATTTAAACAATGGACAATTTTGCAAAATATTCCAAAAAAAAAAACTCAATATAATTTAAGACGTAGGATAAAAAAGCATAATATCAAATTCATAAGCATTTTGCTCTTTAACTACCTTCTGCCTGGCAATTTCCCATCTTTAGCCAGGGTCTGCCTTACATGTTGTGAATAGTTTTGGCTAATTGTTTTTACGACCAACCTACCTGACATCAACCCTCTTTGGGAATGCATTAATCAGTGATGTCTAAATACTCTTATGAAGTACATATGACTCGGTAAAATCACATAGGTACTTGCCAGGATCGAACCTGCTCACATGCATGAGAGGCGGATCTTTTGACCACTAGGCCACTAATAACTTGCTCTTAAACTATAAACACAAATTGAACACTTACCCAATAAAATATACCTAATATTGGGTAAGTGCTATATATATTTACCTGATAATAGTGCTAGTATTTTCAACACTGAACACTACTTTAGTGACCGGGTCGTAGAAGCCGTCTCCTGTGTCGTAATATCCATATGGTATTTCTCGTGGAGGTTGTTCTGCCGTCATGAAGGACTCACCACTCGGTTGAATACCAAGATCGTATTCTATCGTGAATCTAATTAGAAAAATAACAAGATTATACAGAACAACTCTATGTAATTATATCTTAAGAACAACATATTACTTGATTTTTTTGTTTCCATGTAAATGATTTTGTCTTTTTTGGAAATTAAAGATCTCTTTAAACCTAAACCTGATTGATTACGTTGTTTTATTCGTTATTATGTAGATAATATTTAACAAAGAACTGTATATCTAATCCTACTAATATTATAATTGCGAAAGTTTGTGTGTGTGTTTGTTACTTCTTCACTCTCAAACGGCTGAACCGATTTTGATAAAATTTTGTATACAGGAAGCTGAAGTCCAGGAATAACACATAGGCTACTTTACATCCTGGAAATCTCGGAAATCCACGAGTAACGCCGCGGGGCGCAGCTAGTCTAATATATAAAATTTCCATGTCACAATGTTAGTTTCCGTACTTCTCCGAAACGTCTAAACCGATTTTTACCAATATTTTATTTACCAATAGTTCTGAGAATCGGATATTATCTATTTTTCATACCCCTAGGTAATAAGGGTTGTTCACCCTTAAAATTTTCACTTTGTTATCATCAATCCTTATTTTTTTATATGGCAAAACAACTTTGGCCGGGTATACTACATACTAAGTTACCTCTTCTGATTAAGCTTTTAAGGGTGTGAAGGGTTAATTTTACAAATTACGATTTCCTAATATATTTTAGTAAAGTTGAAAACCATCGTCTATTATATTATCGAATTTTTACAAACATCTGAGACAGTTTTTAAAAATGAAAAATAATATTTTTCAGAATGATAGAGTGACGAACTTACTCAGCGATATTACCCGACATGGCAATAATTAATCGTATTAGATATAAAATCGATTTTCATTAAAAATATTTCCTTCTTATGCTTATTCCTACATTAATTCTGTTATAGTGCACTTTTGAATTTAGGAAACTTAACCTCATTCGTTTAATTGTAGTTATAATTAATGCTATAATCATCTTACTAAACGTATAACGTAAGCAATTCTATTGAATAAAAACATCTTCAATAAAAACTTGATAATAAAATTCCTACTTCAGATAATTGTAATGATATGCAGTATAGTGTAAATAGTATTAAAAATCGATCGCTTTCTCATATGAAACCGTGTGATTAAAATCGTTTTATTCCATATTTATTTTACACTAGTTTTTGCCCGCGACTTCGTCCGCGTTAATTTCGTCATTAGTAATATAATATGTATAGCTGACCGGGCGAGCTCTATTCCGTTTTAGAGGCCATTAATAATCAGGTTTCTCCTGTATCAATCGAAAAGAATGATTGACATATTAGATAGTTGTCAAATCTAATGTCAAAGAAAACGTTTGTATGGGAAATAGAAAAGGGCTGTTTTTAGGGTTTTCCCGGAAATGAATCAATTTTTTTCAGCTTTCAAACCTTCCCTGAACCTCCACAAACATTTCAAGACTAAGATAAGGTAAGTCCGTTCAGCTGTACTCGGGTTTTAGTGAGACTAAGGAACAGCAATTCATTTTTATATATAGGTATAGATTCTTACCTTCTATCTGGCATCCTGCAGTACATCCAGTTAGTTTCGCTAAACTCCAGCCCGTCAGCGAATATGAGTTTCCTCTCAATTAACTGTCCGTTCTTCCAAGTGCCACGTACTATATCACCACTTGGATATTTAAGGTCACCCTTCCCGTGAAACATACCATCATCGAAATCACCCTCGTAAATAACTCCTGGTATAGAACACTGTGTTATTATTCAATACAAATCTCTTCTAATAAATAGTATATGCAAAGCGCCTGATTTGTTTAAATAGCAATGTGTTCTGACGATGTAAAATGTTTGATATTGTTTAATTTCAGGAGGTTTTTTTGTTGAATTATTAAACATACATAAAGGGTGTTTTTTTTAGAGATATACAACTTTAAATTGCCAATACTTTCTTATGTGGCAGTTATTTTGACAGCTGTCATGTGATTTGTATTTAATATGGTTTGGCAATTCATCATGAATAAACTAACGCCTGAACAACGCCTCCAAATTGTGCAAATTTATTTTGAAAATCATGGCTCTGTTTCGAAAAACGTATCGCGCACTACGTCCCTTTTACGGTCCACATAATCGTCCATCAGAACAATTAATTCGATTAACAATGGAACGTTTTCGCACTACATTTACTCTAAATGATAATACGCATCCACAGAGAAGTCGTACAGTGCGTACAGAAGAAGTTATTTCTGCTGTAGAGCGTAGCGTAGAAGAAGACCCGAATCAGTATATCCGCCATCGTGCACAGGAATTGAATCTGTGTCCATCAACCTTAAGGAAGATCTTGCTTTGCGTGTTTACAAAATCCAACTCGTGCAAGAATTGAAGCCTCGCTCTCACCTAACAAGGCGTAGATTCTGTGAATGGGCTCAAAATAAGATTGCCGTTGATCCCAATTTTCATAAGCGAATTTTGTTTAGCGGTGATTTAACGCCGCTTGATTATTTTCTGTGGGGATATGTAAAGTCGTTAGTCTATGCTTATAAGCCCGTAACCTTTGATCACTTGGAGGTTAACATTCGTCGCGATATTGCCGATATACAGCCACTAATGTTGAAAAAAGTCGTTGAAAATTGGACCTCCAGTTTAAACTACGTCCAAGCCAGTCATGGAGGTCATATGCCTGAAATCTTATTTAAATTATAATGACAGAATATTATCTTTCCAAAATATTATATTTCATATCAATAATAAGAATCATTTTTGTTTTATTTTATTTCAAAGTTCTATACCTCTAGAAAAAACACCCTTTATAATCAATATCCAAAAATCCTAAAGGAACAGACGTTTTCATGCTATGTTTTTTAGTAATAATGTTTTTGAATTATCTGTTCCGTTTTTTGTAATCAATCTATTATTATATAGACATTTCGTTAGCACCAATCAAACAAATTAGTTTATATGTGAAATAATTGAAATGTTTTTTTAAATTCGGTTAAATTGAATATTAATAGTTCAATAAAACTGATCTCTTGGGGCATTTTAAAAGCAATGGGACTTAGAAGTCAATTGACGTCTTGCTATTAAAACAAACGAACACAGCAATCTGCTGGCTTTGACTCAATAAATGACTTAAGTAAAAACATTCACGTGATGTGAAAAACAGTACAAGTTTCCTTATAAATGTTCCTATACACGTTTTTAATGTTTTTCCTAAACATTAATCTAGATTCCCTTAATCCAAAATCAAATATTAAACGCTAAATGTAATAAATCTTTTTCAAAATACCCTAATAATTGCAAAGGAGCAGTGATACTAGAAAGCTAGACTTACAAGTGCGGTCAAATTTCGACTTAACAAGGTACTTGGAAGGAAAATGATCCTAGTCGCAATTAATATTTTTATGACCAATTATTCTCTACAAATTTCTTAAACAAAAGCAGAATATACATTATTTTATTCAAAAACAAATTAAGATGCAAATAATACGATTATTAATAAATATTTTTGAAAGTTTCAATAGCCGACATTTAAATGGTCGGCATTATATTTGAAGTTTGATTTTAAGCAATATGAAGGCACGAATTTGACATGAAAAAAATGTCCCAGTATCATTACAACAGACTGAATAAATGCCATTATTTGTCATTTGTCATTTGCCTTGATATTTTTAAATATATTATAAAATATACGTGGAATTGATTTCAGCATCAGTTAAGTCAGTACTATTTAATATGCGAAATATATTGAATATTAAATTCCATTGAAATTCTTGTCAGGTGGAAATATTTTTCATATGTACGATTATCCCTTAGTTTTATCAGGAAATATTTGAGTAACGGGAATGTTTTAAGTTTATTAAATATGAAATATATAATATAAATTAAGTTGTTGAGAGTGTTCGTTTATTATGAAATTAAAAAAATATGTAGGTATAGGTTGAAATATTGTCGATATATCGTAGGTGTAAGCTATCATACATCAATGCTTTGTCTTTTTTTAATGTTATTTTGTAATATGTAGTTATTACCTATTCTTATTTAACGATAAAATTGTGAATACATAATGTGTAAAACTTAATATTTTGAAAATTTATATTGAGAATCTTTAGTCCTGTTTAAAGTAATTATCAAAAATAACTACGTGTAGTAGTACATTCAGTTATGAGATCGAAAACTTTCGCGAGTATTAATTTAATTAAAGAGATACTTTGCATTGTTTTATTATTTTAAAATAATATACTCCTGACGTTTCGATTACTTTTTACCAAACGTGATCACGGGCAGACGAGATATTATCATTTAATTTTTTAGTAAAATATCAAGTGATATTGTTGATGTGATCTTCATGTTTTCTCTATATTGCAAAGCTAGAAAACATTTCTGTCCAAGTATGACGGTTTAATATATACAAATCTCAATCCACCATCTCGAGCCGGCGTCGAATGGCCTAATTTGCAATGCAATAGGAACGCGATAATCTGGAGATTGTAGCTTCGAAATCTCCTTGTGCGATGAATGTTTTACTCAATATTTTCTATTTTAATATTAATTATTGTATACTATAGTCTATAGTATTGGTGGCCTAGTGGTTAAGGCCCGCCTTTCTCTGCGTGAGGGCGCGGGTTCGAAACCTAGCAAGTACCAATGTGATTTTTTCGAGTCTAATGTACTTTCTAAGAGTATTTAGACATCACTGACAGACGGTGAAGGAAAATGTTCTGAGGAAGCCTGGTCTTATAATTTCAAATTATAAGTTTGAAATAGCCAACCCTTCTTGAGCAAGCGTGGTGATCAATGCTCAAACCTTCTCCATGTGAGAAGAGGCCTTTGCTCAGCAGTGGGCTCTAATAGGTTGATGACAAAAACATCATGCCTCTTCTCACATGGAGAAGATTTGAGCATTAATCACCACGCTTTTTTTTTATTGTGAAAGGTGGCAAACGAGCAGACGGCCCACTTGATGGAAGGTGGTTACCGTCGCCCATGGACATCCAAAACATCGTTGCGGATGCGTTGCCAACCTTGTTTTTTTTAGGGATAGGGAGAGGTGGGAATAAGGTAATGGTAGGAAAGGGTGGGAATAGGGAAAGGGCAACCGGCTCTCTCACTCATCGGACGAAACGCAGCCACTAAAGGCTACTTCACGCCGATCTTCTGTGAGAGGGTGGTACTTCCCCGGTCGAGCCAGCCCATGTTCGAGCTGTAGTAACTGACTACAACTAGGCTCTACCACCTATAAAGACGCTTGCTCAAGACGGGTGATTTCAAACTTATAATTGTGAAATTATTAGCCAAGGTTTCCTCACGATGTTTTTCTTCACCATATGTCAGTGGTGTCTAAATACTCTTAGAATGTACATATGACTCGGAAAAATCACATTGGTATTTGCCAGGGCTAGGATCGAACCCGCGTCCTCATTCACGAGAGGCAGAACCTTTTATGATGATGTATACTATATTAATAATTAATATTATAAATACTAGAACAAACCGTTAGAGTATTTGTATACCCCGTAGCCGCTCATTCCTAGTAAATCCCAGGAGCCTTCGTATTGTGATCCGGTAGGGAAATGCTTCATAGAGCGAGTGACTCTTGGAATGTCTAAAGACACCGACCTGACGAAGAAATATAAAGAAAATGCTATTTAATTTCAAAATAGGTTCTAATATAGCTAATAACACTACTACTAAATACTAAGACAAACTAAATATATACAGTTTATAAATACAAAAAAGATTTCATGATGAAAAACGTGGCAAATACCTTTCTTATAAAGTAGATATATTAAGACTTGTATTATAAAAGATCGCATATATTTCGATTGAATCAATTTGTTTTTATTTTAAATCATTCAAAAGTCGTCTGGGATGTTCGCCGAGGCGAATGTGGACTGCTTTTACGCGACCATCCGTAAACGGTGTGCATCCCTGGTGCGTAGGGTTCGAGCCAGTTTTAACAACATCCTAATAGCGTTTTCTGACAGGTTTGATTGTCAGTACTTGAACCATTGCAGTATGGTCCATGTGCTGACAAACAAAGCATGTCAGAAAGGTACTGTACAACTTTAATTTTAAGTTATGTAGTTTTTACTAACAATAGGTTAAGGAGTGCACTATACTAACAATTTTGTAAATATGATCAGACTGGTCGAAATAAAAGATTATTATTATTATTATAAAATTAGTCTTTATTTGAATCGTTTTAAGAAACAATCCATTACTTATTCTATAGTCTTTATGATTTTTATAATATTTAAGAACAATTTACTAACCTTTTCGATCAATAAAATTATATAAATATAGTGTCAATTCTTAAGAATTATGTAACACTAGCTTTCCGTCCGCAGCTTCGCCCGCGTGGAGTTCAGTTATATCGCATTTCCAACAGAACCATTCAAAAGTGTGGGATAAAAACTATCCTATGTTCTTTCTCAAGGTAAACTCTATATCTGTACCAAATTTTATTAAAATCAGTTCAGTTGTTTAGGCGTGAAAGCGTAACAGACAGACAGACAGTTACTTTCGCATTTATAATATTAGTAGGGATTATACTTGCTTGCATTCTTCTCTGTAAGCTTCTGAGAACTTTCTCATTAAATCCTCCCATTGAGAACCTCTTTTACTTCCAAGCCTGTAAATAATCATATATTTAAAATATATGTAGATCAGTTTCCTTAAAACAATAGGTACATAAGTCAATATAACAAAAATCACTCACTCTGAATCTCTTGATTTTATTATAGACATTATCGTTATACAAATCAGCAACTGTGAAATATAATTAGTTTTATTAAGCCCGGAACATATAATTCAATTAGTTTCAAATAAAATCGCAAATCAGTTTATAAAAAACACATGTGAATTAATTTATGCTCATATAAACTTTCGACGGTCACTATCCATACAAAACAGTAAACAGGTCATCAAAACATTATGGGAGAAGTAGAAATGCTATTGTCAACGAATTTGTATTCAAGGCATTTATCTTCGGTCATGGTCAAACCCATGCATTATTTATATAAAGAGTGAAATTTTGCCCATTATTGATGTACATTTTCAATGTATACAACAATAATAAGGATCTTGTCGCCTTTCATACGATAATGTAGTGATTTTCACAAGATTAAGCTAGTTATAATTTTAATTTTAACTATCATAATGGCCGTTTATTTAGCTTAGCATATATTTAGCTGTGTTAAAGTTAAACAATATCCAAACTCTCGTATATTCGACTAAAAGTAACTGTTCACACAGGCTTTATTAAATTACCTATACAGTATAATATTTTATAACAATGAAAACTGCACACAACAATAAATATCTTTTACGTTGGCAGCTCTGTAATTGGATGGTTAGATTGTAAGTTCATTTAAGCTCTCATAATGAAAGTTTTACTTTGGAATAATGTTGAAAGTGTTCTTTGTTCGTTGCTTTAATTTTTTTTTCAATTTTTTGTTGCCAGCAAAAAATAAGATTTCATTATAAAATAACTCACCCAGATCACAAAAACATTAAATAATTAATAAAAAAATCTATACATAGCTGTTGGAATGAAAAATACAACTGATGAAAGTTTGACAATTTGTTTTTTTTTATTTATGATTATATACCAAAAAGTTTTTATATTATCCGTATACAAATACATACATATATATTTGATATAGTTATGTCTATTAATATTTTTTCCTTTATTTTGTTTCCCAAGCGAAGTTATTTAGGGAAATTAAAGTATATCTGATTGATTCGATTTTAATTTCTCCTATTTTTTTAACTAAACATTGTCAGAATCAGAGATTTAGTTTTTTTTTGTAATCGATGTCATTTCTGTCATGTCAAATAAAATAAAATGTTTGTGAGCTTTTAATTTTTTTCCGGTAACTCAGAAATTTCTTTCATATCCATTGTTTGATTTGTTTAATGCTAAATATTTATTTACTACAGAAATAAGAGCAATATTTTTAACAGATTATTGTGATATTTTAGTTTGAAGACAGATTTAAATTATATTTTCATCTTGACCCGGATACAGACACAATATGAGACCGGACAAATCAGCTTGTAATGAGTTGTCCACACATTGCATTTATAATTACTTGCTTATATTGTATTTAATTCGTCCCAGAGAAAGTCCCTTTGACACTGGTTCAGGTCGACAAACTTACATTTGCGGTTATAAAAATATTAAAACATTCAAAAACATCTTTTAAACCAACTTGCATATGTTAATTTATTGCAATGCATTTCGACTTTCGACTGCAAAACTGTGTTTGTCAGGGCATATAATATCACGGTTTAAATTGGTCAAATGATAAGCAACTTTAATGTTATAAATGTAAGGTCTATAATTGTAAATGTATGTTATAAGGCTTTGGACATACATAGGATTCTTTCTTTTGTCTCCACTATCTCCTAGTGCAAATGTATTCATCTGTACAATACTAGAATGTTTTAACAGAGATGTGCTTTCATGTATGTTTTAATTCAGTATTCTCTGTCCGTTTTACAGCGGCGTTAAATGTAACAAAGCCACGAATTTAATTTAGTTCGGAATAGGTATTTGCTTTGATGTCCCGCGGAATGTATTTCGAGCATTGAAGTAATTTTGTACTCTGCTTTATTTATAACTGAGTTTGGAAGTTAAAATATTAATTAATATGAAAGAATTTTGTTACAATAATTTCATAGTTACGATATTTTAACAAAGATACATATATTGTTATAATTTTCTTAATTAATAAATTTAAGTTAGATAAAATAAAAACTTTTAGCTGGTACAAGCATTGAAAAATAAGTATGTATAAGTCACACATTCGATTTATTCTTATATGTATATAAAATTCTCGTGTCGTTGTGTTAGACAGAGAACTCCTCAAAAACGGCTTGACCGATTCTCATTAAATTTTGTGAGCATATTGAGTATGTCTGATAATCGGCCAACATCTATTTTTCATACCCCTAAATCATAAGGATAGTTCACCCTTATTTTTTCGTTTTTATTTTTTTATAATGTAGCATTAAAAATACGTACAACCCAAAATTTTTAATTTTTTTTTTCACCAATCCCTATTTTTTATATGCCAAAATGTTCGCCGGGTCAGCTAGTGTACTATATAATACTATGTACAAGTCACTGATCAATTCCGTCCTCACCGCAAGACCATTTCAGTTTCTATAGAAGATATCGCTCAACTAACACATACATATATGATAGATAGATAGATAGATAGATAGATACATATATCAAAAGACGTCACTTAGTACATTGCACGTCTTGTTACGATAATTAAGAAGAAATTTCCAATTTAACAAATATATAAATGTGACTCACATAGTGGAAAAAGTTTTGATGGCGTCCCTTAAAATGGCGGTACAATTTTACTTGATTTATTTTTATCATATGTATATGTGAATGGTAATTAATACGTTTTTTTTTACATAATGATTTTTAATACGTACTTTGCCTTTCGGGAAGGTACAAATTTTACGCGTCTTTAAAAAGCGTATAATCTCTTAAGTATTTGCGACTTTTTGTGTAGAATTTTATCATAATGGGTTCAAATGTTTGTACTATAAACAAACTAAGAATATTAAGAATTAGTAAGAATAAATCAGAAGGTGACCAAAACTAAACTTCTTTTATTAAGTACAGTCTGGTTTTTATATAAATTTCGATTCACAGTTCACAGGTACTTTATGAAAACTCAGTAAATTATGATGGCTATAAAATATGCTATAAATGTGAGAAAGTTTTTAAATTACTTCAGCTTTGACTAAGCTTCAAGATTTGTCACGAAGATAAGTCTTATTACCTCGATAGGTTTTAGATATTATATTAAAAGAAACGAAAGGCATTATTAAAAATGTCTTTAAATCTTCTTCTTCTACCTGGCAATTTTCCAGCTATAGCCAGGGTCTGCCTTACATGTTGTAAATAGTTTTGGCCGACTGTTTATACGACCGGCCGCCTGCCTGACATCAACCCTCTTTGGGAATGCATAAATCAGTGATGTCTAAATACTCTTAGAGAGTACATATGACTCAGAAAAATCACATTGGTACTTGCCAGGGCCCAGGATCGAACCCGCGCCTCATGCATGAGAGGCGGGCCGTTTTAACTACTAGACCACCACTGACATAAATATATCTTTAAATAAACATACATTATAATTTAATATACTGAATAAGTTGAAACTTCAATAGTCAGAAAAGGCGGAATAAAATTTATATTGTTGTTCAATTGTTGCGACGACTTAATGTAATTAAATTTTTTAAACTGACATTGACATTTATTAAGTTCCGATGACGGTCGCGTTTTATTTATAAATGGCGTCATCTTTTTTTATTCATTTTAATCTTTATATATACTGAAAGTCGTGTGACTGGTACACAAAAAATATTAGTTACTTATTAAGTTACTGTTTCAATGTATAATTGAATAAAATTTAAAAATAGTGTAATAGTATTAACACATCGTGGCATTCTTTATTAGGCAATATATCAAAAGATTTGTACATAATGATTGGAATAGAACCAATTGTATTATGTCTTTTGCTTCACTCGATCATGTTGTGTAATATTTATGATTACTTAATTTGCATCTAGCTATTGTGTTTTAGAATATTTCATACGATTCATTGGATATTTAATGTCGGATCTTTTGTTGTAATATTAAAAAGTAACGTGTGGAGTTGTTTTGTTTGAGCCGAAGTTTGTATAATGGGTTGATGGATTGAATTGTACGCGTGAGGTTCTTTCGTCATATCTAAGTCAAAAAATCAAAGAAATTTTATGTGATTTCATCAAACATTTAGTCTGTTATATATAAGGCTATTTTATATTGATAATAATTTATATATTTACCACATTCTAGATGTAAATCTGTTCAGTAATTTAGGAGATTATCGTACGTGGAAGTTTAGATACCAAAGTCTTGCCTAGGAATGTTTTTGGATATAAAAACTTTAAGTGTCATTAGATACACGTTTACATAAGATTGGGATTTTTGTAAAAAAGATTTTTATTGCAAAAAATTTGCTTATGAGAAAAAATAATATTTTAATTATAAAATAAAATCTGTAAAGGGTGGTCATGCAGTAGTTATGTTATCACGAATATGTTATTGTTTATCAGAACGAAAGAAAATAATGAATTAATCTGTGATCGGTAGGGTTGATAAAGATCTTTTAATTGATTAACTTCTACTACAACACAAAAAGAATATTATCGTACATACCTACTGAAATAACATTAAAAACCAAAACTTTCTAAAAAACCTTTTGGTATAAAAACCAGGTACATTTTGCTCGTGATTTTAAATTATCTTACCAAATATGTATAATAAATGTAAAAGTTACTCTGGTACACTTCATTTCAGTACTTTGTATGTGTTTATAATTTTCACATTTTAAATCTCAGTATAAATACATTTGAATACTATAGACGATTATATGTATTATTATGGACAAACTGTATTTAATTTATATATATGTTTTACATTATAATAAACTAATTAAGAAAAAATATGCTTAATTGTGTGTCCGTTATGTTGTATCAATTATTAAAAGAAAACAAAATTAAATAAAAAAAAAACAAGTAAAATTTTTACTATGAAACGAAAAAGAACAAAACAAAAAGCATTAATAAATGTTCTATAAAACTAGAAACACTAGAATCTAAATTATATATGTATATATGTACGTATTATTAGGTTTTTAGATTTGATAAAATTTATAGTACTTTAGGATCGC